GACACCATTACCTCCCCAGACCTCGCATGCCTATTCCTACTCCATGTATTCTCTAAGCATGGCGTCCTGTCCCATGTCACTTCCGATCGAGGTACGGAATTCATGTCCCACTTCTTCCAGTCTCTAGGGAAAGCACTGGATATGGTTCTCCACTTCACATCCGGATATCATCCAGAAGGAGATGGACAGACAGACAGAGCCAACCAGACCCTGGAACAATACCTCTGGATTTACTGCAACTACCAGCAGGATAATTGGTCAGAATTATTACCCTTGGTGGAATTCGCATACAACAATGCTCCAAGTGCTACTACCGGAGTTTCACCCTTCTTCGCCAACAAGGGATACCATCCAAACATTTCCGTCCATCTGGAACACGACCTCTCTTCTGCCCATGCCCATGATTATGCTATAGATCTCAACAAGCTTCACCAATTCCTCTGAGAAGAAATGTCCCATGTGCAGGAGTGCTATCAGGGTCCTGCTGATGCTAAGCAGAAACCTGCTCCAGACTTCAAGGTCAGAAATCTAGTCTTTGTCAAAGCACAATATTTCCGGTCCACTAGACCCCCAAAGAAACCCTTGGAAAAGAACTTAGGACCCTTTGAGATCATATCCCATCCCGGATCCCACTCCTTTACCCTACATCTTCCAGAATCCATGAAATCCGTCCACCCTGTCTTCCATGTCTCCAAGTTAGAACCCACAACTCCCAACACCATCCCCAATCGCATCCAAGCACCCCCACCTCCAGTGGAAGTTGATGGAGAGCCTGAGTATGAAATTTCCGAAATTCTGGACTCTAAACTTGACCGCCGGAGACGACACTGTCAGCTCCTATACCTCATCCGGTGGTCTGGATATGAGGGAACAGATGAGGAAACATCTTGGCTACTTGCCACGGAGCTTGGAAATGCCTCAGAATTAGTATCCGACTTTCACTCTGCATACCCAGACAAACCCGGTCCCATTTCACTACTTTGAGATACATGCAGATATATGAGTACATTTAGAGGGCAAGAGCAGAAATCCAGAATCAGGCATCAGTCTCCATGTCACCTCCAGATCCGCTGGCCTCATTTCCAGCCTCCTTTTCCACCTCTCCCACTCCCTCATCCTCCTGAGCACTCTCCTCTCTGGATCTGGAATCCCAGGATCCACCTCGGATGTACTCCATAAGGGTGTTCTGGAACTCCCTCTGCTGGTCCAGGAATCTGGCCATACCAATACTCATCCAGTCCACTGCAGCTCTACTCCCTTCTGCCACCTGAATGCTCCTCTCCAGAAGTCCGTTAGTCCGGACCAACTCAGCCACAATACTGTTGGCCACAGCGACCCAAGCCTGATCATCATACTCCACATTTGCTTCTTCTGCCCCTATAATAGTAGCTGGATTAGAGATAATGGTCACCTCATCTCCAGAATCTGGATCCGGACTGCGCTGACATCTCTTCCCCTTGCCTTTGGGAGAAGGAGTCCCCTCCAGACAAGTCCTCTTCTTGTTGGAAGACATGGATGAGGCCTGATCAAAGTATTTCCAGTTCTCCTCAGGGCCTTTTGGATGTCCATAGCACTTCTCCTTGGTTTTCTGGCAGGCATCTCAAGCCTTTATCTGTCTGGATGTCAAAATACCAGATCCAGACGTCCAGAAAATAGACACTTACAGTGGACCTACTACCAGCCTCAACCCAACAGCATTCCCTCCTCTTAGTCACACAGTTCCTGCATGCCTCTGGATCATATCTCATCTGAGGACAAGCACATTTTCAATTCCGGACCAGTCCAGACCACAGGAAACTCACCTTTTCTGCCCTCTGGGCCTTCTCAGCCCTTTCCTTCCGGATCTCAGCCAACTCCCTCTGCTTCTTCTCCTCATCCTCCTGACGTTTCTGCTCCTCCGCCCTCTGGAGCTCTTCTGCCTTCCAGTGCTCTTCTGCTTCATCAGCCAGATGGATGTTGGCCTCCACTTCAGCTAATTCCGCCCTCATCTGGGCCTGACGCAGTTCCAGTTCCTCCCTGGCAGTTTTGGGCTTGTTAGATTGGTTGGAAGAGTTGCCAGACATAGTGAATAAGCTGATGGAAGAATATGGGGGGTAAGAATCAAATAGGATGCTTTGGCAACACTATATCTGTGAAATCCATCCCCTGGAATCCCCCATCGACTTCTCCATTGTCTCATACTCATTTCTTCCAGACCCTCATTTCCAACCCCCTGTGCCTCAAGGGTTCAGCCTAAAGGGGGAGATACTGTCATATGCCATTCTGGACTCTCAACTCTAAATCCACTTCTCCAGATATCCAGATCCAAGATCCGGATCTCAAATGATCTGATCTATCTTTATCTCCCTTCCAGAATCCAAACCCTATATCAGTGCCCAACCCCATTTAGACTGCCCCTGTCTCCGGACTCCAGTTAACCATGTTTCCCTTTTGATTATTGATCCATTACATACATTTCATTTTTGGTGTTCATTATTTGTGATCCATCCTACTTACTAATAGACTCTGCATATGCTTTGTACATAGCCTTTATGTTTGCTGACTGATTCCTATATGATACCTACAGTATATAAACCTCCTGTAACTCTCAGAAATACTCCAGTTCGAATATCATCTTAGTTCCTGCTCATTCCTGTGTCCTCCAGACTCAAGATAAGTCTCTTGTCATATTCCGAGTCTTAGGATTGCATCCTAGACTACCTTTCTGACTCTACCTTAAGGGTAGTCCATCCTCTGTTAGTTTCTAGTCTGGACTTCATCCAGATTAGTCTTATCCGCTTGCCCAGGTAATATCTGGACGTCCATTGGATTTATCTCACATTTCAGATCCGGACAACTGTTCTAGCCCCTGGAAATTAAGGGCACATACTCAGGAAAGGGGCACAGTGTACGAGCTGAGGCCAAGCCCTTGTGATCTGACCCCCTTGAGCACGTGACCTTAACACATTGAAGGTAAGTTCTGGTCATCATAAAATGGGCTCCACTTAGTTTCTGCAACCCTAGCATTCTTCATCTCTGTTGAAAACAATGGTTTTTCAATCATCTGACAATGTTGATCCATCTGGACATGTACTCAGGTTGTCTGTGGTATATAATCCTGCTAGTGAGGGGTGAGTTGCTGCATCAATCATCTTCAACATGTCTGACTCAAACCCTAGTTCTCCAAGCCAGAGTCCTTTCATTGATGAGGGCCAATGCAAGGTCCTTTAACATCACTATCCCTGCACTGGTTATTGGTTCAATATGCTTCTGATGCATCCTTTCATTCATGGTCCTCCAAGTCAGCATTTGCAGACTCAATTTCAAGGCCCTGCTGGCATGCCTCTGTCTTCGCTCCAAGATACACTACTACAAAATCCTGCCAGTGATATGGTCCATCAAGAGTCAGCCACTGCACCATCAATTCAACAGCCATGCTACCCTGGTGCAAATATGGTGGTTCATAAGTACATCCACTGTGTCATCACACAACTAGATAATATCTAACTTCATGTATTGCCAGTTATCACCAACATCAATATCTCTGTACCATTAAATACTGGAGCTGTAGGTGGACATGTCAGCTGTGTCCAAATCTGCCTTCCTGTCAATATTACATTTGAAGACTTTTTTTCACACATTTGTGCAAAGATGGACCTTGACCCAGTGAATGCCAAACTTGGTGTAGAGACTCATGCCTCTGTATGCCTGTAGAGCCCTATATTGCGATGTATCTGCATACAGTTTGCAGCACAAACTTGTGGTATCATTCCTTATATCATTCCTTCACTCAGCCTATACATGTGCGATCTTCCCGTGCTTTGCGCAATGTATGCACCACTCTCCCACAATGCATTCCTGCATGTGTCCCATGCGCTTTCCCGCACTTCATCACCCATCATCCAGGAGCATCCATCCATTGTCCAGCAGGTCCTACTGGCACATTTTTTGCATTTATTCTTATCATGACACCATATTCCATCATGGACCCTTACTTACATATACCTTCTTTGTTCCTGTGCCTTACTCATGTTGGCTCCACATCATGGGAACACGCTTAGTTGCCTTTTGCATGATAGCATTCACATTTTTATCAGTTAGTTAGCTACCACTTAGTGGGGAGTTAGTATCCCTTAGCATCCCTCAGCATAGTGCATGCTTTTTTTGAGCCATAGTCAGTAGCATTTTGGCAATCACACTCTATCATCATCGCATTTGTCATCCTTGTGCCCATCAGTATTAGTCATCACCCTCCCTTAGTCCCCATTGCATTCCTAGCCCTTTGCACACTTTCACCTATTAGCATGCGACTTTCCCATGCTTTGTGCATCCTACCACTCTCTGTGCATGCCTTCACCTCCATGTGTGTGACTTTCCCATGCTTCATGCGACCTGTGGATGTGTTGCACTCACTTCCCCTTGGGTCAAACACACTTGCCTGTTATGGCGAACTAGGATGGGCGCGACGACAGGTACTCGATAAGAGTAATGCCTGAAGCCAGATCGAGGCCTTACAAATGTAAGGTTCTTAAGACAAGTCAAAGAGAGTGTCTCTGGCTCGAATATCGTATCAGACACTTAGGATTGGGGGTCCTAAGCGAAGGATGTTTCTGGGTAAGACCTAGTAGATTAAAGTGAAGTCTATCTAAGTACATGACCGGGTTTATATAGACGTAGGTACTTTAGGGCAGGTACACATGTGTCATCAATCGAGTCAGAGATAAGAGAATGAGTCATCTAGTGACGGCACATGGCGGTCGTGCTGTAATACAGTGATACAGATATAGAAAGGCGTTAGTCTAATGATGGCACAGCCAGGTGCGGTCATGACGTAATACACAAGTATAGAGAGAGAAAAGATAGGGGGTAACCACGATTGTAACATTGCCTTTGCAAAGTATAGCAACCTAGGCAGAGCTGAGACAACCACACATATACTCTGACTTGGTATCCCTTGTAGTGCCATAGCTTAGTAGTTGATTCCTTCATCAGGTACAAGTTTCACAATGATCAAGTCCAAGATGCCCCTCATCAGCTCTCCAATGAACAACAGCTTTGAGAGGCATTCAAGCAGGGCTGTGATCTCATCAAATGAGCTCAAAGTTGGTGAGTAGTTCTTGAAATACATAACCTGGTAAGAGAATACTTAGTGGTTGAGTATTGCTTACTGACTAATACACTATTAGAAACCAGCTCATCAAGCACCCTCTGCCACTCGTTCTCGTTGTCATGAAGCTGTCAATGACAATCAAGACCCTCCAACCTGCATGAGCTTTGCTGCCAAGTTGTGAGAGCTCAAGAATAAGCTCGACTGCAAGAAGCACAGCAAATTCTGCTATATCAATCCTATTAGTGGTGACCATGAAGCTCAAGATATCTATAACCTCACCCTCTGGGCAAAAAAGATAGTAAGTGACAGAAACTCATATCAGTGACATTTGACTGACATGTATTTGAAGTTCTTGGCAGAGGCTACCTATGATAAACCCCCAGAGATGGCTGCCTTTGACCATGTTCCAAAGAAATGTTGATTATCTTCAGCAAATGGCCCATCTGCTACTAGTGCAACTCCTACTCTTCCAGTCATTCATGTCCATATCCCTACTAAGGAGGCTCTCAGTGATGCTGGTGACCACCATCAAGTCAATACTTCCCAGGGTTTTGCAACAACTTTCCTTTGCCATGACGAGGATGATGAATTTATCACCTACCCTCCCATTACTGACATCCTTCACGAAATGGATGTCATGATGCCACTTTTGCATATGTCCCAATATAAGGATGATCTCCTCAATCATGGGGTCACATATGTCAATAATGTGATTGGCCTATCAGATGAGTTTTTTGTTGATGTTGTTGGTATGCCCATGGGTGTCATTCAGTCATTCCTGAAAGTCACTCATTGACTCATTCAACACACCAGGAAGGGCAAAGGAAGGGCCACTAACAATGATGGTAAAGAGAACTATAGTGCTCAGTGCTGCTGTGAGCAAAGTGTTGAAATTTGAACAAAGCTCAAACATTTGAAGCCTTGATTTGTAGTTGTCAAGTAGTACTTGTGGTTGTACAAAATATTGTATTCTCATCATGATCATGTACTAGCTGTAATTGTACATTATCAATCACATCAAGTATCCACTGTCTGCAAACCATCCTCAAACTTTTTCTTGTCACAGATGCAAACACTGCTTCCCACAGCAGGCTATAAGGATCACAGGTCATTTCACCTGCAAATCCACCTCTGGCATACAGCTCCACCTTATCCAAGCTTTGAGGGCCAAAAAGGCTTCTTCAATAGGGTTGAAGTCAGGAGAATAAAGTGGCAGATAAATGAGACACATCCCCCTGAAAAAAGATCAATGGTCAATGGCACTACTCGAACAGTGACATTGGGATAACATACCTTTGCCAGATCATCTCTTTGAGATATGCTGACTTGTGTATGCTAGCATTGTCCATCACAATAACAGAGTTCTTCTGAGGGTATTGGTTCATATTGTTGAGTAAACCCCCCTATGAATTCATTGAATATCGCTGCAGTATATGAATGATCTTGGATGTTGAGATGTAAGATGCCATCTAGTGAGATAGCAGGAAGAATAGAATATCTGAAAAGACAAACTACTGTCAAGACACCCCCATCAGCAAAATTTTGACATGCCCCTGACCCCAAATGAAACAATTGAACTGATGAGCACACACTCCTGCCAGTGACTGTTACAATGAGTGGTTACCCCCTATCATTCTTTCTTCTACTCTCTTGTATTACGTCATGACCGCACTAGAATGTGCCATCACTAGACCAGTGTCCATCTATTCTTGTATTACAGCACAACCGCCGCGTGCCGTTGCTAGCTGACTCATTTCCTTATCTATGACTCATCCCTTATCTCTGACTCGTCTTGATGACGTATACGCACCTGCCCTAAAGCAGGTTATGACTATATAAACCAGGTCTTGTACTTAGGTAGACTTCACTTTAATCTACTAGGTCTTACCCAAAACATCCTTCGCTTAGGACTCCCAATCCTAAGTCGTCTGATACCGATATTCAAGCCAGAGACACTCTCTGACTTGTCTTAAGAACCTTACATTTGTGAGGACACGATCCGGCTTTAGGTGTACTCTTATCGAGTACCTATCGTCGCGCCCATCCTAGTCGACCTACGGTTTGCCGTAACAGTGACCATGCATTTTGGTGCTTAGTCATAATTCAGTTACAGGCAGATTCATCTATGAAGACGAGCTGGCCAGGACAGAAATTTTCGGCAATAAAAATTTGATATTGGTCACATTTGTCTTCATTGTGCTCAATTGCAGCTTGAGTCACCTGTATGACACTGTCGGAATTTACATGCACAAACATATTTTACATACATGCTTGTGAGTCAATCCATGCCTATGTAGTGTTTGTTCGATGGTGGCAAGGGACACTCAATACTGTAGAGATACACACTTACCTTCATCACAGCATCACACATCCTTTGAATCAAAGCTATTTTGTGTGACTGTCACACAAAGTTGAAAGTGTCAAAGGTAAATTGTGACATACAGTAAAACATGAAAAAACGCCTAAACTATGGTCAATGTTTCCAAAAAAATTTGTACTGCATATTTTCCATGCATCTGCACTTCCCATGACCAAAAATTTCTTCACCACCCTCAGTGGCAGAAGCTGCAAGCTCTTGATCATATCCTTCTGCCTCATTGCAAGCCAGCAGGTTGCCAGAATCATCAGTACCATAGCCTCAAGGGACTGACCCTCCTGATGTAATGTGAAGTAGAACCACATCAACAGGAATATCACAAGGATTGAGCTCAACATCTGCAGCATGCGCAAATGGTGGCTCAACCTTGTCTAGTGCCAACTTGGATTGAGGTTTTTCAACCTTTATTGAGCTGTCTTGGTTCAGTCCCATGTCTCAATGTCATTCTTCTCTACATCATGCAGGGGGGGCTCTTGAGAAAGAACAATACTGGTGCATGATGGATTGGTTTTGAGACTCACAGGCAACTTGAAGACGAGCAGCTGAGTGACTGAGAGAGAGTGGGAAGGAACAATAGCCTGAAACTTTGAAGGAACACATAGGAGATGCAAACTGGCCATGGTACAGAAGGGCTTTGTGGGATGGTTTCAGAGTTAATCATCCTGAGAGCTGACTTATTTCTTACTGAACATTGGAGGATCTGTGTTGATAGTATGACAGTACATGCATACACAGAGAAGCCTGAAGCTTGACATGTTGCCAGATAGCTGAATACAAAGTGCTCCTTGAGGATCATCGAGAAATGAGAGCCTGTTGCTGCAGGCACTGACAGTGGCTCAGTCACAGTGGAGTCAAAGCTATTTCTGAGGTGTCACAGGTCACACCCATCTTCAAATCTTCGAAGCTAAGACATGTTTGATCACACCTGGATGACATTGAAGGTAAGTGCATATCTCTACAGTATCCCTCACCTCCCATAGAGCACTTTGTAGTTCAGATAGAAATATGTTAGGAGTGCACTCAACACATGAAATAATGTACTGTCACAGTTAGGTATCAAATTCAAAATACTTTTGTGCCTTCACTTACTGCAACATCCTGTGCTGTAAGTAGATGAGGATGACCACTTCCCAGAGGCTTTTGAATGACAGAACCTGTGAGTTGCAAGAGCTGAAGAACTCAATTGACTGTTCAATGGCTGGATCCTGTCACTTGCACTGTGGCCTTCAATGTCATGCCATGTGTGGACATAACAACCCACTGCTGCTTCACAGCATCTGGTATATGTCGCCAGTTTCCATGCATCATGATGATGGTCAGCAGTCATCATAGTACTAGTATTCCACAAGCAAGTTACAAAAGTAGCTAGTGCACATGCCTCTGTTTGGTGTCACTCCAACAACAAACAAAAGCAGCTAAGTGAGTTTTCCAGATTCTGGTCTATCAATATGAAAATAGCTGTAAATCTCAATTATCAGATTAGTGAATGGGTGTCCATAAGTTTTTTAGTGCATGCGGTGTCTTCGTTGTCAGTAGCGTGTGCAGTCAAGGTTGCGAGCAAATATGGAGAGAAAGTGAACATTAGTGTCGGCTTCAATACGGGCCTATCGACCATATAAATAGGATGGAATTTGAAACCTGCAGGGCTATGTACTTCAGGCACGATTTACGGCATCCGCGGGAACGTCCTTTGTACGGGGATGATGTAAGGGTATAAATAGAAAGATCTAATCATCCAAGGGAGGCATCTGATCCCCACTCGCATCCGACTCTCCGTTTGCAATTCTCTTTAACATTTGATATGCTGTATCAAGATCATCATTGACGATCACGTAGTCTACTGAGCCAGGTTGGCGAGCGTAGTCGATCTCTCTACGTGCGATTGCGAGACGACGCTGGATGGCATCCTCAGAATCTGTGGCACGGCCACGCAAGCGGTTATTTAGCACGGTCATGGAGGGTGGGGAGACGAAGACGATTGTAGCGTGGAGGGGCGTTTGCTTGATCTGTTGGACGCCCTGGGATATGGCATGTGAAGATCAGGCTAGAAGACGAAGCGGAAGAGATGCACCTGAACTTCGATATCGAGAATGCACCGCTTGCCTGTTGCTGCGACGTCTTGCACAGCTTGAATGGACGTCCCATAGAAGTTGCCCGAAAACTGGGCATGCTCGATGAAAGCGGCCTCGGAGATGAGGTTCTTGAAGTTATCGGTTGTGGTAAAGTGGTATGCTTTGCCGTCTATCTCACCAGGACGTGGAGCGCGGGTAGTATCTTTGGGATGGGAACCAATTAAATGGTGTGAGAGGGTTTAGAAGGAAAGCCTCCGTACGAGAGACACTAAATCCAAACGAGTTTGGAAATTCTTTAATGAGACGATTGATGAGAGTACCCTTGCCTACCCCCGAAGGCCCAAATACGACTAGAGGAGGAACAGTCATGGTCATCTAAGGGATACAAGCTAGCGCCGCTGCAGCGATGAGACTTTTTATGATACCTAAAAATAAGTCTGTGACAGAAGTTATGTAATATAGTCAAACAGTGTCACAAGGAGCGTGACGAAATATCTGAACAACGCCCCCCTTTGCTTACTTCATTCTCTCATCCTTACCCTCTTAATATAATCCCACCATCCTTTTCATCATGGGCGCCCTTTGCTGTCGACCTCAGGTATGCTTGCCCTAATTCTGCCTTGAACCAACCAATTCATCGTTATAGCCGGTAGATTTCGAAGGCGACGTTAATCTCTTTCATTTTGTTCTCTTGAGATGTGTCGGCAAAGGTGCATTTGGAAAGGTCCGTATTTGTTATACCTCAATTTTCGCTCTCAAAACGAACAAGGTACTTATTTCTAGGTCCGAATGGTCCAACACAAACAGACCAGAGAGTTGTATGCCTTGAAATATATCAACAAGACAAAGTGTGTAAAGATGAAAGCAGTTGCAAATATCATTCAGGAACGAAGATTGCTCGAGGAGGTCAGTACCTAGACAACAACATCTTCACCTCTCATTCATTCAATTGATAGATCGACCATCCATTCGTCGTTAACCTTCGTTATGCTTTCCAAGACGATGAAAACTGTTTCTTCGTCCTGGATCTCATGCTCGGTGGTGACCTTAGATGTACGTTGCCCTCGTTTTCTTCTACCTCTTCGCTTAGTCCGTTTCAACCCATTCAGTCCATCTTGAACGGTTAGGCTCGTTACCAGAGGACACAGTACGCTTCTACGTCGCAGAAATAGCTTCAGCTCTAGCTTTCCTTCATGAACACAGAATCATGCACCGGTATGTGTCATCCGATCCCGGATCTGTCACCCCTTCATAATTACCACACCAGTGATCTTAAACCCGATAACATTCTCCTCGATGAACGGGGTCACGCACACCTCACAGATTTCAATATTGCTGTACACTTTAGCGAGCGCCGCATGCTTACCGGCATTGCAGGTAGCATGGCTTACATGGCTCCCGAGATTCTTGCCAAACGCGGCTATACTTACCCGATCGACTGGTGGAGCCTAGGCGTTTGCGCATACGAGCTTCTCTTCGGTCGGAGACCTTTCCGCGGAAAGACAAATACCGACTTGACCCACAGCATTAGCAAAGACAGCTTACGCTTTCCCGACGATGCCGATAAGAAGTGCTCGCGAGCAGGCATGATGGCATTGAAAGGGGTACGTGGATCATGCCGCCTACCCTCTTGTGCTGATTTCCTCGCAGTTCTTGGACCGTGATCCTTCCAAGAGACTCACGTGCAAGCAAAGTGATGGCTACGAAGTAATGCAACGACACCCCTGGTTCCATCCCATTGACTGGGCGACACTTGAAGCCAAAGAATTACCGCCACCGTTCACTCCTGATGTGAGTCCTTTTGTCCGAACATTATCCGCGCTCTAAGCCCTCCGAAGTCAAAGAAGGCAAACTTTGATGCATCGCACGAATTGGAGGAATTGTTACTTGAAGACAATCCATTAAAGGCTAAAGCACGGAAGACGCGAGATGTTAACACACTGAGTGCCGAAATGAGACAGATGGAAGAGCAGTACGCAATTTCACACCATTTTTCCTCGTATCCTCTTAATTTAACACAGGTTCGCATCATATGACTTTAAGAAGATGCTCCGGCGATCATACTATCCCCAGAATCAACAGATCGTATCAACCATCACCGCAACTTCCTCCACAGGCGGACTCGTATCAAGTCGGCCCGTAACGCCCGTAACAGACTCACCGGCCGAAGGCGTTATACACGAGCACTACGAAAGCGAGTTCGATGGCGACGATGTCCGAATGGAAAAGATGCCCCGGGTCCTAGAGAAGAACTACTCATGATCCGTACCCATCCCAACCCCAACCCGCCAGACGAAATAACGACCGCTGACGATATATCCCCCATGTATCTTGTCGATATGTACGCACCCGATCCCATACTCACCCCATCCATTCATTTCGGGGACCTAATCTTGGTTGCTGTTGCTCACTTTCCTTATCATCATCTCACTTCAAGTGCGCTGCTCACTGGATACCTTCGCTTTGTTCAACATAGCACATCCGAGTTCGTTCTGACACCCGATACCGTCCTTGTCCTTTGTTCTATGAGCGTTCCTTTGTAGTTATTGGATTTTCCTTCGGCTTTTGGTTTTTGAGGGAGTCGAGTCTTTCTTTCAATTTGTTTTTCTTTTCTTTTACAGTTTTTCATCTATTTAGCGCTAGTTTGCTGGCTAGTCATGTGGTTGTGGATTTACACAGTTTGCTATACGACGCCTGGACTTGCGTATACTATCAACCCATTAATCGTGATTCGTTGCTGTAGGGTCCTTCATAAAGTTAGCTTACTAAGCAAACACAATCGCCCCACCCACACTACACATTATTCGCGGCTTGCATCACTGACCACACTTCCCAAAAACCATGGCCATGGCGGGGCTTATCTCCCCCAAACCGCTCTCATACCTCCAGCATGCTGGGCAATTCAACCCATACCAGCAACAGCAACAGCAACAACAGCAGCAGCAGCGCTTAGCAGGGTCCGCGCTCTCCGGATACTCCGACACACACACACATACTCAGAGCCATACGCCCTCCCTGCACCCACACCAGCACATCATGGGTCTTCAAGAAGAGAGCAAGATATATAGTCTTGTTATTGACCTTACGGATCCTAATGCGCGCGAGGCTGCGTTGCTGGAGTTGAGTAAGAAAAGGGAGCAGTATGAGGAGCTTGCGTTGGTGCTTTGGCATTCCTTTGGTACGTATTTTGATTAGGTTTTGTTGGTTTGCTGACGCTGATTGATGTGGTTTGGTTGGAATGGTGCAGGTATCATGCCAGCGCTATTACAAGAAATAGTATCCGTCTACCCCCTCCTCTCCCCTCCAAACCTCACAGCGCATGTATCGAACCGAGTATGTAATGCCCTTGCGTTGCTCCAGTGCGTGGCTTCGCATCCGGATACGAGACAGTTATTTTTGAATGGTGAGTTCTGTGCTTGGGTTGGGTGGGTAGGGTTTGGGTTGACTTTTTGGTTTTCGATGATAGCGCATATCCCGTTGTTCTTATACCCGTTCCTGAACACGACCTCGAAAACGCGGCCGTTTGAATACCTCAGACTTACCTCACTGGGCGTTATTGGCGCCCTCGTCAAGGTTCGTCTCTTCCCCTCCCTCCCTCCTTCCCCCTCACCTCCTCGTACTCCTCTCCAATCTCAATCCCAATTTCAATTGTAAATGCTAAACCCAAATATCACGACCCCTAGCAAAACGACAACAATACAGTCATTCACTTCCTCCTCTCAACCGAAATCATCCCCCTCTGTCTCCGTATAATGGAAACGGGTTCCGAACTCTCTAAAACAGTCGCTATCTTCATCGTCCAAAAGATCCTACTCGACGAAACGGGTCTCACGTACATTTGCCACACTTACGAGCGGTTTTATGCCGTGGGGACGGTGTTGAGCAATATGGTGAATCAGCTGGTGGAAACCCAGGCTGTGAGGTTGTTGAAACACGTCGTAAGGTGTTATTTGAGACTTAGCGATAATATGAGGTGAGTTTTCTTATTTGAGTGTGGGTTGGGTGGGCGGGGCTGATGCGATTGACAGAGCGAGGGAAGCGCTGAGGGCTTGTCTCCCTGAACCACTGCGTGATCAGACGTTCAGTGTGCTTCTCAAGGTTTGTCTGCATTCTTCACCAGAGAGCGTCGCTTATAAGGGTCAACAGGGAGACATGGTTACCAAACGATGTCTGACGACTCTTTTAAACAACCTCAATGAGCAGTGACACCTGCCCCGAACTAGTCTATCAAAACGACCCACTTACGAATCCTAAAAATTCGGACTACTCTTATGAGATCTGATGCTTCTTTTTTTCCGAACCGTTACGGACTGTCACCACTTCTCGACCGACTGGTGATTGTATTCGCACTTTTGTCTCTTGTACCAACGCAGGCCCTTGCTATCTAAAACTCGTACTAATTGTTGATTATCTGCGTAGAGCATTACATTTGTATCTACCTTATGAATACCTGAAATTTACTGGGATGCGGTTCTCGAGAATCGGGAAGCTGCAACATTTCTACTCCATTAACCAGATCATACAGACGAAAACAATCCTCATTACTCAAGGACTTTGTGCGCACCTGAACTTTCAGCTGCCAATGGGCTCACGCCAGCATTCTTTGTTCTCACCGTGGCCTAATTTAATATACTCACAGGTATTAAGCACCATACATTAGGTCCGGATATGTTAAAACAGGTCCCCGGAAAGCACATCAGCATCAAAATCATAATACTCAGAGTTGTTATCATTGCAGCTGTGGCAAAGACAGCTACCGTCAGCATCTATCAACGCATCTTCATTCCCATCCAAATCAACAGCAACCGTTATCTGAAGCCGCTCCACAGCATCGCTCATTAGATTCCTGTACTTCGCTAGTCGGAGCGTGTATATGCCGATATCACGGCCGGCTCACAGTATGAGAACCTTGTCAAGGAACGAACGTTCCCTACATCCCAAGTTGATGTACACGAGCTTTACTCGTCTCCAACCAGGAGCGCGGTGAGCAAACCTTGAGTAGGGGTATCATCCAGATGGATACCTTCGAGCTCTAGAAGTCTGCTGATCCCATGCGCTGGAACTCTTCTGGAGTATCAAGGCCAGAAAATGACGTAACCAGGTGTTGAATTTCGTGATGTAGGACCGTCCAACAAATGTCAAATAGGATGTCCGGCTTTGTGAGCCATGAGTCGTATAATGCAATCGAAGGTCATGCATCACTGTCACGAGGGGTCCACGGATGCTCAGGTATCGACGTGCTGAACCGGAGTGCAAACGGCTGACACGTAGGGACCGAATAATGGGAACAGATTCGTCATGATTCTTGTGCATGGCCGAAAGTAGATCAGCGAAGCTTTGAGCGCTTTCAATTTTCGTGAGGCTCATAACAACCCTGACATCAATGGACTACTTAATGTGAGAAGAGAGGTATAGCAGTGTCGATAGTGAAATTGGACAGCTCTAGCCTTCTCAACCGAGGGAGTGGGACTTGGTCGAAGGGCCCGTCGGCATGTTTGGGACTTCGAGGCTCAAGCGTAAGTAGCTCCAAGTTAGGCATGCGTCTCAGAGCTGAGAAGATCTACGACAGGGGACTACGCTCAGGGGATGAATGATCCTATATGGAAAGAAGCCTGCTGAAAATACACGATGTCCAACCGAAACAGCATCGCGCAAGCTGAACGCTCCGAAGTTGAGGTGCTTTCGGTGTCCGATATGGACCTAGTGAATGTTGGGTCGCCAACGACCACGAATTTGAATGTATGAAGCATCGGCGCGGGCAGCGACAACAAGCAGTCCAAAATGCGATCGGCCTCCAGTGGAGATGGACACAACTAGAGGGATTTGATTCGAGGTAACTGCGAAAGAATTTACTCGAAGCCGCATTGTTGCAACAGTTTGGGATCATTGTAAATGTCGACCAAGGCAGCTTTCTTCGACCTCTCAAGCATAATGGTCAGCCACTGAGCAGAGACGCCGTCAATAAATGTCCAAAGAGTCGGGCAGTCGAGGGCGATTTGGCAACAGTGCCTGCAGGCGTGCGTGGCTGCCAGATACGCAGGAGCACCACGAGGGTCGGATGCGCCCATATAACTCTGCTCCTTTGATACAATATATACGGAAACAGAAAGTGTTATCGGTGATCGATGAGGACTTGTGGAAGTAATCAGTCTAGCTCTTACAAGATTTCACAGAAAAAAATTACCTCTCGTTGTCCCAGAGCAAGTCTCCATGTGACGTAAGAGTAACGAGCTTGGTCGAGGGCGAGTGGTCCTTGCAGCTATCGATACGGATAGCTACTTAGTGTGGTTCGAAATGAGTGAAACCATTCTATTTCAATCCTGTACGGGAACGAGTAACTAGATGTCGAAAAGATAAAGGCATTAGCAGTGGCATGACTCGGACAATGTACAAAAAGCTTACTAGTAGTGACTAGCCGCAGTGATCTAAACGAGTGTGCCTGTCTGAATTGAATCCAGGACAAAGAGGCTGGGTGCAAATTATCCTGATAAGCCAGGTAGCACATATGCCGTGCTAACTAGGGTCGAGTTCATGTTCCTTCAATCGTGAAATGGATGAGCTTGAGCGTGTCCTGGTCAATTTGCGAACAAGTGTTCCTCATTCTCACTGTGGCCCAGTAACACGCTCACGAGTGTGAAACGCTGTAATTAATTCGGTGCGGACTTGAACTTGCAAAATCCAAAGTTTGAATGGAGTAAACTTGGTCGTATTTCAACACAGGCTTGGAGTTGAAGCGCGTTGAGGCGCTTGAATGGCGTCAATGTTGTCTTGGACACAGACTTGTAATGAAGAGCGAGTGAGAGATTTCTTCTCTTTGTGCAAAACCGGAAGCGATGACTTGGGCGCGAGTGTAGCCTAAAGCCTATATAAGTCACTGATCAAACTTTCGAACCCTCAAAACGCGTTTTTGCCCACATTCGTCAACTCATGATGAGTGAACTCTTTTCATACGGTTTCTTCGGGGGACCGTCATCAACATTAAACTCAACATGTCCATCTTTCGTGACTGGAGAAACCGTGTGCCTTCCCCCAGTTAAAATCCCATTCTACTTCTCCCTCCGCCAAAACATATTCGATGGCATTCCAGACACACACATTGCACTCGCTGCCCCTGTGCTCGCTTATTGGCTCCTGTCTTTCGTATTCTACTGCCTTGACCTCTCTGGCTGGCGATGGCTTGATAAATATCGTATTCACGAGTCAGAGGAGGTCAAATCTAGGAATTTGGCTACCCCTTGGGAGGTCGCACGAGCTGTCCTACTCCAGCATGTGACGCAAACTGTACTGGGTTTTGCATGGTTGATAGAGTCGCCGGAAATATCGGTTGCGCGGTGTCAGAGTGAGATGGTGGCCTTGGGAGGAACATTGGTATGGGTCGTGCGATATGTCTTAGGAGAGGAGACAGGAATGAAGTTTTTGGAGCTGAGAGGGCCTGGGATGACCCATTGGTTGTACTGGTGGGGAATTCCAGTTGCACAGATGTTATTTGCGTTGTGGGTGTCATTCAAAATCTGGCTTGATTTCCCTCTAATGTCTACCCAGGTTTATCGTCGATACCTGGCAATACTTCCTCCATCGCTTGATGCACACGAATAAATATCTCTACAAGAAGATCCACTCTGTGCATCACAGACTCTATGTTCCCTATGCCTTTGGGGCATTATACAACCATCCCTTGGAAGGATTCTTGCTGGACAGCGTAGGCGCAGCCTTCGCGGAGCGTCTATCACACCTTTCAGTGCGACAAACTATTTTCCTCTTTGCGTTCAGCACGTGTAAGACTGTCGACGATCACTGCGGATACAGTCTCCCCTTTGATCCATTCCAGATGATGAGCGGAAACAACGCGGACTACCATGATATACACCATCAGGTATGCTTCCTTCACTCCAATCTATTCCTGTACGGTGCTGACGAGGCGTACAGGTCATCGGAATCAAATCAAATTTTTCACAGCCTTTCTTCGTCCATTGGGATGTCCTCCTCGGGACGCGCATGACCAGAAAAGATATTCAAGAACGCAGAGAAAAGGTTAAGAAAACATGATGCACCGATTTTGATGTTATGCTATATAGATTTCCGGAATTTCGGTTTTCGTTTTGTCAATCTTGATTCGAATGATTCAATTCAGGACTACACAATTCGCTCACTCAACCTAATGTTTTTCGTTCACCACCTTTCTCGCTGTATAATTCTAGGTTATGAGAGCTACGATAATGTTTGTGACCAACTTCCTTCACAATGTCAACAGCCCCTATTTACGCATCATGAGAAATTGTATTGTCTTCATTACTGACAAAAGAATGCTCTACCTGCTTTGCAATTTGCATACATATGTCGAACTTGAAGTTGTGATACTATAATTCAAGCCTCGACATTCTTCTCGCAACGATGCCGAACACCTGAAGCATGGGGACCGAATAGGAAAAGATGAACCGAGACGGAAGCTAAAATATAACTGAGCGGCAATATGGGGCTTGATGATATCGCCAGAGGCCGAATTCATGCCGAACACTTAGAAACGTGGACCCGAGGGTATCGGATTACACAGTTCGGCCAATATTTCCGTACCATACTGCATCCTGTTGAATGACCTTTGCCACAGCAGCGCTAGACAGAGCAAGTACTGACTCATTTATACAATACCTGCAGTCATGGACATGGTTTGTGTGGAACGTGCTCCACTTGCAAGTGCTGCAAAGGCAGTCCTGCACGAAATACAAGTCCTCAGAGGAAATTAGCGAACTCGGAGGAGAATAGGGACACTCAAAGTTGGGCGCACACATTGCACACCGCATACCACACATGCACATGACCCCCCTCGCACACACACACATGATCAAACTACCTTAGATAATCCAACCTTCTCTACAATGCTGATTGCACTTTACCTCCCTCACTCACTCATTTGTCATCGTTTGTTCGCATTATTACCATGGGAGGAAGAAGAAGGATGCCGGAATCACCATCCCTGAGATTACCTGGACCAACGACTTGATCTAGAAGTTGCTGGCCAAGATAGAATTGCTGGAGAACAGAGTTGTATTGTTGGGCAAATGGAAGAAGTGTGAGGTATGCTGACAACTATGTTATGTATCAAAGATAGCTAAAAATTTGCAGAATACCTCGGGTGATAGCAAGGCTACTGTATATCAGTGCATGGCTGCCATGATTTTCCCGCAGTTCCATAACCTAAATCCCACTGTCACAGGGGACCGTGTCAAGTGCAAGTATGAGCAGTAAGTGTCCAAGTCTCCTATAATCTATTTTTATTATACAGTGGCTCAAAAAACTGTCCACATGTTTTTGCATTTTTTACTATTTACAATATTGTGTGAGAATACATAAAGACCTCAGTGACATGCTGATACCATATTGTGGTGCTGCTTCAGGGCTTTGGATTGAGCACCACATTGTGAGAATCAGAGGAGATATGGTGGAGATACAAGGCTTACAAAATCACGACTCATGCAGACAGTTTTTTGAGCACATATTAAAACTATATAAATCATCATTTATGACACCAGAACAATCATGCCACCATTAAATAAATTATAAAGTGGTGTCATTATGTCATTTTAAAACCATATCTAACTATACAAACCAAAAATTTCCATATGTCATGGTTATATTCACCATGAAAGCCACCCCCCCTGCTCAAAGGGATAATATCCTCTCTCTTTCCTATTCTGGCCTCTCTGCTTGTCAAATTTTCTCTAGAACTGGAGTATCCAAGTCCACTGTGGCCAAGTTCATCAAAGAAAGTCACACAGACAAGGAAAACTTCTGTGAAGGGCGTCCATCCAAGCTCACCTCTACTGATAGGATGGCTATTATTCAACATATCACTACAGGAAAGGCTGATAGTGCTGTCCAGGTCACCTATTACATCAATTCCATCATCACATTCCCTGTCTCTTCACACACTGTGAGAAACATTCTCAAGACAGCTCATCTCAGGTCAGCAACAAGGAAGAAAAGGCTCTCCTCTCTATCACACATATGCAGAGAGGACTAGCACCCTTCTTTTTTCACATATATACCTTGCCATCTGACCCAATCCTATTTATTGTGGTCTTATATGATCATATAACATGCTTCCAGTCCATGTAATCCAATTCTGATGGGCTAAGGCAAAGGTTAGTCATCTCTGTTTATGTGTGATAGAGAGGAGAGCCTTTTCTTCCTTGTTGCTGACCTGAGATGAGCTGTCTTGAGAATGTTTCTCACAGTGTGTGAAGAGACAGGGAATGTGATGATGGAATTGATGTAATAGGTGACCTGGACAGCACTATCAGCCTTTCCTGTAGTGATATGTTGAATAATAGCCATCCTATCAGTAGAGGTGAGCTTGGATGGACGCCCTTCACAGAAGTTTTCCTTGTCTGTGTGACTTTCTTTGATGAACTTGGCCACAGTGGACTTGGATACTCCAGTTCTAGAGAAAATTTGACAAGCAGAGAGGCCAGAATAGGAAAGAGAGAGGATATTATCCCTTTGAGCAGGGGGGGTGGCTTTCATGGTGAATATAACCATGACATATGGAAATTTTTGGTTTGTATAGTTAGATATGGTTTTAAAATGACATAATGACACCACTTTATAATTTATTTAATGGTGGCATGATTGTTCTGGTGTCATAAATGATGATTTATATAGTTTTAATATGTGCTCAAAAAACTGTCTGCATGAGTCGTGATTTTGTAAGCCTTGTATCTCCACCATATCTCCTCTGATTCTCACAATGTGGTGCTCAATCCAAAGCCCTGAAGCAGCACCACAATATGGTATCAGCATGTCACTGAGGTCTTTATGTATTCTCACACAATATTGTAAATAGTAAAAAATGCAAAAACATGTGGACAGTTTTTTGAGCCACTGTAAAGTACAGAGAACTATGAATAAGAGGTATGAGTGCAGATATTGATCATGCAAAGTGTAACAAGCCATTTATTTGATTTAATGTGCTACACTGCTAATTGACTTGCTCAGACTTCATTAATGGTTGATTATCTAAGGTAGTTTGATCACATGTGCATGTGTGAGGGGGGTCGTGTGCATGTGCAGTGTGCGGTGTGTGGTGTGCAACGTGTGCGCCCAACTTTGAGTGTCCCTAATGAGTGTCTCAACATTCTATAAGGTTCCTTGTGCACTATCCATAGAAGGTGTTGGACTCCGAGAGATCTGAGAGGACCAAGACCAAAGGATCTGAGATAGAGAAGGGAAGTGAGTGAGAGGTACGAGCACAAGCCGAAATGAACAGAGGTGAGCAATGTATTGATGTCAGCTTGTGCCCTACATTATTTTCTATGTTTCATTCTTATATCTGAGTCATAACAGTACTCACCTTGAAAGTGTCAGTAGAAACACCCTAACATCTCAGTTCTTTCAAGATACTGAGATGTAAGCCTTAAATATCGTCACCCGCATGCTACAAAGTCTAACGATAATGTAGTGTACTTGTTGTATAGACTCCTCGCCCCTCTTGCTCGTCTCATAACAAGAGAAGGTGTCCAGGGGCCACATGCGTACACATGAAAAGTTATATCAAAAGAATGAAATACATGTACATCCTTAGTAGTGTTATCCTCTGCACATGTGCGACGAGATTGGCAACTGGGACAACTTATTACGCCACATCACAGTGTGACACAGCCTCTTGGGTTTCTCTGACAGTATATAGAACAAGTGGCGGAAACTAGGCCAGAGGGTGTAATTCCATTTCCTCGTGTCCGAAGGGTGGGGATATACTTCTACGAAGAAAAAAAAGAAAATATGAGCATGCCATGAGAGTACTGAGCAGACTCAGTTAACCTGTTTGCTCGACGATTGATCCAGAAAGTAGAGGTGCTATGTACGTTATCTACCACAAGCATCCGTGAGCATTTGAAAGGTTACAGTGAGAAGACATGGAGGTACGGGGCAAATGACTTGTAACTTGTCAATGTGGGTCGCATCCAGGTCTTAGGAACAACAGCTTCGACTGAACTTGTCTTGTGGTTTCCTCGACGAGTTGAGTATTTTCACGGCAGAGCGACTTCGAAAGTTTCCACTTGACTTGTTATGTACTCGCAATAGGTGACGGTGAGTGTGTGAACTTTGAGAACAAAGTCGTAGTACATAGCTCGAACTGAAGAAACACCCCAGGAGTCGGCAACATTCTGATGTGACTGGTATACCAATTGTACATCATCAGCAGTATCCTTTGGAAGGTAGCGAGCTAGGGTAACAGTCGAGAAAACCTGTAGAAAATTCACTGTCAGACATACTACATGTGTGTTGAGAACTTCTGAGCGCATTTCAATGGACAGGTTCTGACAAATGATTGAGATGGATATAACTTTCAGAAAGCACAACTTGGAGGGTTGGGTTTACCAGTAGCCGGAAGATGCTTGAGTACCATGACATCCCTTTCTTTCGAGGTTTGTCCAATGGGCCACCGTCAAGTTCACATCATTTGAGTGAACCAGAAAGCTTAGGCGGTGCATATTTAACGGTGGCCGTGACACAATCAACTCACGAAGGTCGATTTCACTTGGTCAGATAAGATTGTGAGGGCATTAAGAAATCGAGGGTGATGAATAACTCACAGTAAATGAACAGTGAACAAGCTTGATGGAATTAACACCTAGTGGCAGCGTATGAATGGTGTTTTAAGTTCTCGACGTCGCGTTCTCGTTGAACCATCCTCTCAAACACCCATAAGTTATGGCTGACAACCGGAAAACTTTCTAAGGAAAAGTTGAAGCCATCGCGGGGCGCGAAAGGTGGATTCCTTTTGATGAACAGACTATCACAGGTCCCGGCGCAATGACTGGGCCCAGTGAAGATTCGGACCTCTGAGGATCTATACACCATAAAAATATTGTCAGCAGGTTTCGAACCAACTCCAACGGAAACAGATTTTGACTCTGTTGCGGGAACCACTTGGCCAAGGCCAGTTAGATAGGCCTCCGAGGCAATCGTCCATGAGTCAATGTCAAGGTAAGACCAGTTAAGATGAACATCCGACGAAACTATCCATGAGTGAATGTCAAAGTGTGTTCCGATCAATGGGGGGAGAAAAACTTATCGTTGGCATGTTTGACAGATTTTGCTTTTGTTGTGGTGACCACCTGGCTATAAGACCTGTGAAGATAGGCCTCCAAGAAAACTATCCATGAGTGAATCTTTAAATTCCGACAGAAAAAACGTTGTCGTTGGCAGGTTTTGAACCGGCACTAGCATAGTCCAAGACGCAGATTTAAATTCTGTTGTGGTAACCACTTTGACCAGGACGAAGTTGAGATGGGTGTGCGAGGAAATCATCCATGAGCAAATCTTGAAGGCGTGTTCCGATAGAAAAAATACCTGTCCTTCAGCAAGTTTCGAACCTGCCGATGCCAGTTGGCTATAACTACTTAACATAGACCTTAAAGGATACATCCCATGAGTGAATGTTCAAGGCGCGGTATTAACAGGAAAAAGATTGTTGAGCAGGTTTCAAACCTGCAACTGATTTCTATCCTGTCACGCTTTTCGCTTGAAGACTGATCAAGATGGACGTACGTCTGTATGTATGTACTCCTGTGGAGTGACGTGATCACATCCCACGAGTTTCCGCTGTGAATATTGCAGAGCATTAATATTGCGGCTACTTGAATTGCGGCCAGTCCAGCCTCGAAGGATCATGGAAGAACACCCGCGTTCCTAATGCATAACCCCACCAGGACAGTTGTATTTATCAGATCACTGCGAAGAACATCAGAAAATGATGTTGCACAGCCTGCAACTGCGTGGAATTCCTGAGCATGGAAAGATGATCCACTTACAAAGGTTGAATCGGACCAAAGTAAAGACAATGTGGTCCACATATTTAAAGTGAGCACATCATGCATTCCTTTCCCTTGAGCTCTATGGTATTCTGTGGAGTGACACGACCGGTCTTGGGATGACCATCCCCGCACAACAAGCCAAATGATCTCAAAGGCATTTTAGATTAGCTGTGTGGAGAACTCGCCGACAAAAGTGTTTAACAGCGGGTCTCAGATCAAGTTGACAATGCAGCCAAGTTTTGTAGGAGGCTTAAGCAGTGTTGCTCCCTCCCATCACGCAAATCTCCGAGTCATTGTGATCGTTGTTTCGGGAGTGGGAATTCCTGAAGAGGCTTAAGCAGTGTCCCGCATCAAGCAACTTCCATCTTGATCGTTGTAATCGGGTCAACCCACGAACTCTGAATGCGCGCTTTCGAGTTTCTTATGGTGTAAGGAGAGCATTTATGCCGGTAGCTCTGCAAACAACACTCGAACTTTCCAGAAGACTCTCTTCCTCGTCAGCATGAACTCGACCTGCTCGGCTTTCGTGATAGGCGAAACCGTATGCCTTCCCCCAATTAGAATCCCATTCTACTTTTCTCTGCGCCAAAGCATATTTGATGACATTCCAGACACCTACGTCGCACTTGCTGCGCCAGTGGTCACTTTTTGGCTCATGTCTCTCACGTTCTATTGTCTTGACATCTCTAGCTGGCGATGGCTCGATAAATATCGCGTTCACGAGTCCGAGGAAGTCAAATCCAAAAATTTGGTAACGCCCTCAGAGGTCGCACGCGCCATGATATTCCAGAATGTGATGCAAACTTTGGTGGGTTTAGCGTGGTTAACAGAACCGCCAGAGATCTCGGTTGCGCGGTGTCAGAGTGAGATGGAGGGCTTGGGAAGAATGCTGGTCTTGGTTGTGCAACGTCTCTTCGGGAAGGAGATGGGGATGAAAATTTTGGAGCTGGGGGGGCCTGAGATGACCCATTGGTTGTACTGGTGGGGAATCCCAGCTGCACAGATCTTGTTTGCGTTGTACGTGCCATCCAACGTTACCTGACTTCCTCTGATGTCTTTCTAGGTTTGTCCTCGACACTTGGGAATACTTCGTTCACCGCTTGATGCACACAAACCAGTATATCTACAGAAAGATCCACTCAGTGCATCACAAACTTTACGTTCCTTATGCCTTCGGGGCATTCCACAGCCATCCTTTGGAAAGCTTCTTGCTAGACACCCTAGGCGTGGCAATTGCAGAGCGAGTCGCCTGTCTTTCTATACGACAGGCCATTTTCTTCTTCGCGTACGGCACAGGCAAGGGTGTCGACGATCATTGCGGATACAGTTTCCCATTTGATCCCTTCCAATTGATCAGCGGAAATAACTCAGACTATCACGACATACATCATCAGGTATGCCCCTTTACTAGTGCCTGTACTCGAAAGCAGTGTTTATGAAGCGTACAGGCCGTCGGGATCAAGTCAAATTTTTCGCAGCCTTTCTTCGTCCATTGGGATGTGCTCCTCGGTACGCGCATGACCAGAGAAGATATTCAAGAACGTAGACAGAAAGTAAAGACGACGTAATGCATCGAACCCGATCATGGCATATAGAGATCTGAAGTTTGGTTTTCGTCTGTATGATCTTGGTTTATATCAACAACTACGATAATTTTGATGAACGATGTTCTGACTTACTTCTTGATTATGGCCTCTGTTCACGCAAAATGATGAATTGTATTACATTCACAAGAGCCAACTCCAGCACTGTTTAAGTCAATTTTTGAAACCGTTATCTGTCAGCCGCTATATATCTCAGTGGGTAAGCGCGGGAAGATTCCATTGAATTTAATTTTAATTAGTATTCCCTTTGAACCTGTCGGTCATGATCAAAGGGCTTGGCCACTTAGGTCAGCCCCGCTAATACTCATAGTACTTACTATCATTCCGGGTAATCTGTAACATTTTCAGCAAATCTTTTGTAGCTCGTCAATCACTTCATATTATCTTCCACGAATTTAGAGTGTTGTAGATTCGTACCGCCTCTATATAGATCTTATTTTTGCTCATTTTTAGGATTTTGTGGTGTGGTGTCGGATGAAAGCCGAGAAAATTCAGGGTCTGACTGCTAATCTGCAAAATATGGTCACGTCGAGTCACACCTCGGCATAGCACCGGCACAGTCAACTTTGACTCTCCGCACTGCGCTCTCGATCTGTTGGCGTTGAGTCGTCGAACTGGAAGCTTGAGCTTGAAACTTAATGCTCTGATAAATAATGAATACAGCAATATATTATCATCAAGTATCGTGATTCATGTAATTATTATGAGTGTACTGGTGATATGGTCCTGAATAAGGTTCTTGGTCTTCTCCTCTCTGATAGCCTGAATAGCAGCAGTGAAGTTGGCTTCGCGAATCACATCTTCTTCAGCTTTCTTCTGACTGGTAGTATGCCTGCGGTTTGGTGCCATTGTAACAAGGATGTGAGAATGATGCAAGAGGAGACAACAATGCAAGACTTCGTGCACTTGCCGAGTGTGCCGTAGAGGAGATTGAATTTGTTACACACTCTCCTATCTACTGTCACATTTTCATACATGTCGTCAATTCTTCCTCTATAGCATCTTAAAATGACAGGATGAGCTTTATCGAAATTGTGTTCTGTAATCCTGACGAGGTGATTGTTGTGCTCCAGGTATAACTTTAGGAATATACCTGCAGGATCTATGGGATCTGGATAATTTATGTTCCTGCATGGTTACAAATTACCACTATTTCATCCCTCGCAGCTGCAACACGCAAGAAACTTTCATTCTACTTGGACAGTACATCATATATAAGTAGTCTACATATGCATGAATTTTTTTGAAGTGAGTTGAGCAGTGCGTTGAGGTGTTTTGAACATTTTGCATATTGCATGCATGTTGCAGATTACCCGGAATGATAGTACTTATGGATAGGACCCACGACATACTGTGGCGGGAACACATCCAGAACCTGTTGAAGCAAACTCTACTTCCAACGTCTCACCTCCTGCTCGCAATTCGACCAAGAACACGCTAAAGCTTGTCCATCTCGCGATTGGGGGGCACGGCACAACATACAATATATTCAGGTATTTGTAACGCAAGCTCCAAATTCATCCAGCCAACGAGAGGTAATTTTTCTGACCGGGATTTTGCATGGACTAGACTGATTACCCCCGTAGGTCGTCCATGATGACGCTTTCTGCTTCCCTAGATATTATCCCTAGAATGGGGTCCGCCGTCATTGAGCACTGTCGCGTGACTCGTGGCCACGTCGACAAAGATATAGCCGGATTCAACAAGGACATGGCTGCATTAGCCGAGTCTTCACGCGGCCTTCGCTCTCGCGGGATCACTTTCTCCTGTATATCTTGGCTTCCACCCGAGATTCTCACTACTGTCTTCACATACATCGTAGAAGAGGACACTCTCAAGAGTCATACGGACACATCCCGCCCTTGTGCTGCTCCTATTTCCATGATAATCACGCACGTCTGCAGGCACTGGCGCCAAATCGCCCTTGAGTCCCCTACTCTTTGGGCATCCCTCAATTGTGTCTCTGCTAATTGGCTAGATATTATGTTTGAGAGGTCGAAGAAAGCCGCTTTGGTCGTCATCTACAGGTCACCGAGCTCGTTGCGAAAATGTTTCCAGCAGATTTTTTCACAGTTACCTCGAATCAAATTTCTCCAGTTGTGCTCATATCCATGGGAGGTCAATCGCATTTTGGACTGCCTATCATCGCAGCCCGCGCCGTCGCTTCAAACATTCAAATTCTCGGTCGCGAGGAAATTTTACACAAGAGTCATCAGGCCCATATCGGATGCTATTTTTCAAGGACGAGCCCCCCTACTTCGGAGCGTTGAGCTTACAGAATGCACCTTCAGCTGGACGTCCTGTATTTTTAGCCGGCTTCGAACTCTAGATGTGAGACGAATAGGATCTACCTCTTATCCCACTCTGTCGCAACTCCTGTCAGCTCTGAGACGTATGCCTGAGTTGGAGCAGCTTACGCTTGGACTGTCATCCAGAATTTCTGAGGACATCGAGTTTTCCGACCAAGTTCCACTCACTCAGTTAAAAGGTATAGCACTGGATGCCTGCACCCTCCGAAATGCCGTATCTCTCTTCTCGTGTCTAGCCTTTCCCGTTAATGTCAAGATCGCTCTCAATCTCGCACCAATTGGAAGCTGCCTTTCTGACCTATTTTCGGCCATGTACAAGGATCCTGATGGCCCTGGTCCTATCATTCGGTCAATGCGCGCGAGTCTTTCGTACCATACATTCGGTGTCCAATTCGGCACATCAATGGCATTCAAATCTGAGTATTTTTGGGACCCTCGTGACGATGATATCCTACTCTCGATTCAATTCAAATGCAGCTCATCCACTAGAAAGCCACCCATCATATTTGACATGTGCCAGATGGTCCCGCATCGCCAAATTCAAAGTTTGTTTGTGACATCCTCCCTTTGCCTGCGAGACAATTTCTGGCGCGTAGGGTCCACTGACCTTCCGGAGCTCGAAAGTATCCAGCTGAGTGGGACCTGCGATATTAGAAGCCTGGTCGCTGTGCTACAGAGCGGAGGTACACAAAGTTCGGATTTGGCGTATCCCTCGCTTCATGTTTTAGAGCTCGAGAATATCGACTTTGGATGCGGTGAAGCTGAAGAACTTCAGGACATCATCATAATGCGAGCCGGTCATGGTGTCGGTATAGACGAACTCCGGCTAGTGAAATGTAGGAATTTGGTGGACGATAGGGTGCAGCTCCTTAAGGAAGTGGTTACGGACGTTGATTGGGACGGGCATGAAGAGGGCTTGGTGGGCGGCGACGGCTCTGGCGGTGGCTGTCTTTGTCACATTTGCAGGGATGAATCTTCTTCTGGGGAGGACTATATGCAGGCGTTATTACATTCCGATTATGATTATGATCCTGATTCTGATACATATTCTGAAGATTAGGTTCTGTTTGGCTGTATAGATCTGGGACAAGTTATAATCTTGGTCGCTACTTTGCTCATTTATCGGTGCGGGTGGGAGTCTGGTGAGAATCTAGAGAACGTCTTGTAGCTATTCTATAGTAATGCAAAATAGTGACACAGTAGTCTTGGGGGGGTATGACAACGGGTTATATTCCTGCCGGTGAAGGAACTGTGAAAGCGAACAGCCTTGTTTCCCAGGCGTCACGCACCTCTACAGCTGTGAACAAGAGACACACGATCCCTCCAAAGTCCACCTCAACCGTGCTTAACGCCATCAACCTCCAGTTAATGTCGAGGCTCATTCCAATCACTACATCCCTGAAAGAGTTTAAAGGTCATGAACATGGCTTATCATCAGTCGCAGTTTTCCCCGATAAACGACGGATGATTACGGGCTCGCACGACAAGACGCTTCGTCTGTGGAACTTGGAGACAGGCGTTGTGTTGAAGGTGATGGAGGGGCATCGCAATGGGGTGCACAGATTGACAGTATCACGAGATGGGCAATTCATAGCAAGCGGTGATAGTGGAGGAAAGGTCATCATCTGGCACGGAGAAACTGGAGAATCGCTCACCCAACCCATCGATGCTCACTCCGATTGCGTTACCTCGCTGGATTTTTCTCCTGATGGAACAGTGTTGGCCACTTGTTCACACGACGTGACGAAACTATGGAACACCAAAACTTGGCAGCAGCAGGGCGAGCCAATCAATTTGTCTGGGGTTGGCGTCGGCTGCGTACGATATTCGCCGTCCGGAGAACTTCTTGCCACCGCAACAACCCGCATCGAAATTTATAATTCAAGTACGAGGGAACTTATCACATCCTTCAAGGGTCACACATCGCACAACTTCGGACTTGCATGGACGCCCGATGGCTCACGCCTTCTCACAGGCGGCAATGAGGTCGATCCTACCATACGCGAATGGGATACAACAACCTGGCGGCAGGTCGGCAATCCTTGGACGGGCCACTTCAACTATATCAATGCCATTGTCGTTAATCCCGCCGGCACACTCGTCGCATCGGTATCTCGTGAGGGTCATGTCCGTCTTTGGCGTCTCTCAGATCGACGAACCGTTGCCATCTTCAAGCACTCGTTCCCGCCGGAATGGGTCACTTTCTCCGCGGATGGCAAGAACGTCCTCAGTGGAGGTGACGATAAGATGATCTCAGAGTGGGCCATACCCGACGACATCAATTCGAAGGCACGTTTTCATCCTTGACTCATATACCACAATTTAAGGATGTTTCGTGCAGATCCTGGGCATCACCACAGCCCGCATTGCATCCATAGATGGAGACTTATCTACCGCCGAACAACTACTCACACAAGATATCAACACGCATGTGAACAACCACACTTCCTACGCTCATCGCTCGTTTGTTATGGCGCGAAATCAAGCCTGGGACCGCGCCCTTCAGGATGCAATCAAGGTGAGATATACCCACTGATCATGGTCGCCTTACGAAAGACTAACTCGACGGTGACATAGTCCACCAGCATCCAGCCTTCATTGATAGGTTATATCTCCAAGGGTATTGCCCTCTGCGGAAAAGGCTGCGTCCGAGACGCGAGGGCAGCATTTGATGTTGCATCCGTGTACACGGACCAAGACTCACAAACCATTCATTTTTTGCTCTTGATCAAGGTAGGTTACATTTGTCTCGTACAGTCTCTACTTTATTCCATATTTCAGGCCATTGCCCTCTTCAGTGCAAATCAACATGACGAGGCAATGTTGCTCCTCAAAGAACTCACCACCGGTTGTCCGAATGTCGATATTCGCGCGTGTCGTATCGTGGAAGTGAGTATCATGCGGCCACGCTGGGTCATCAACACTAACTTTTGCAATTCGCACATTAGGCATATCTACGTATTCAACTCGGAATCAAAGCCTTGGATGTCGCACGTCACGACGAAGCCGCTGACCATTTCACTGCCGCTCTCTCCAGCGGTTTATCATCGAAATCAGACATCCACGAAATATACGAGGATTTGGTAGTGGTACGTTAAGATAATACACATATAATGCTTTTCATAACTGAGTGTCTTGTCCAGCTCTTTGGCTGGGACCTGAGGTCTTTGTGGCAAAAGGCACACCAGAAACGGTGTGATGCACTCCTTCGGGCAGGTAAACTTCAAGATGCCGCGATATCATACCAGTACATGATGGTTTCGAGTGACGAAAACACCATGGCCGACTACCTTGACTGGTCAAATGGCAAGTCTGGAGTCTGCAATGCCATGCAGGCTACAATCCTCACCTGCATTTCTCTCAGATTTTAAGCAAGAATGCAGCGCACTCTGCGTTGTCAACGGAGATGCCGCCCTCACTGTGAGTGAGTATGACAGGGCTATTGGCCTATATTCGGCGGTGATCGACCTGGATTATGCATCTGATGTCATCTTTGCAAATCGCAGCAAGGCAGAGTTAGTTAAAATGCGATGGGATGATGCGCTCCACGATGCGCAAAAGGTGCGATGGCGTCTACGTTTTCGTAGCCCATGTTGACTTCGGAAATGCATAGGTCACCGAACTCAATCCTTCATCTCACTTTGGATACCAGTTGATGCACGCGGCGCTTTGTGGCGCGCAACGCTACGACGAAGCCATCCAGGCTTTCACAACTATGTTGTCTAAGATGGACGATGCTCCCGAAGCGCAGATACGAGGTAAGCCATGGAACACTCCTGCATCGTCTCGAAATGCCTATCCTATTCTGCAGATCTGCGTCAGCAGTTTGTCTCTCCATCTGAACTAGAAGACTCCGTTCAAAGGGCTGTTGGGTTTGAACTCGAATATGCCCCCATTCGTCTGCTCAACACCTCTACGGGTCTTTTGTGTGATAGAATGGCACGAATAAATGCTTTTAAACTGAGCAGAGAATACAATGAGCTTATCTCATTTCCAACGAAGGATTCGAACCTCCGGATAGAGCACATCAAAGACGTAGTGGCGACGTACTTCCGGTGCGTTCTGCTATCACACAGGTGGGAAGGCACGGAGGTGCTGCTCCACGATATCCAGGACAAGGTCGTGTACGAGTTGAATGGACTTGGTGGCATCGCGAAACTCCAGTCGTTCTGCAATATCGCTCGTGATGCTGGGTATCACTGGGCATGGATGGACACATGCTGCATCGACAAGAGGAACAATACCGAGCTTCAAGAATCGGTCAACTCTATGTTCCTCTGGTACCGCCACTCAGCGCTTACTATCGTCTACCTATCCGATGTCCCTCCTTCATCCCAGCCCGGTGCACTGGCGGGGAGTGTTTGGAACGAGCGAGGATGGACCTTTCAAGAATTCGTGGCTCCGAAAGTTGTCATCTTTTATCAGAAGGATTGGTCATTATATCTCGGTGATCGCTCTCCCAACCACAAAGAGTCCCCTGCGATTATGAAGGAATTGCAGGATGCGACGGGCATAGATGCACGGGCCTTGACCTCCTTCCGTCCAGGGATGAACGACGCACGCCGGAGACTTCAATGGGCATCGTCACGCGTCACTACATTGCAAGAAGACATCGCGTATTCATTGTTTGGTATCTTTGGTGTCCACCTACCTGTAATCTACGGCGAGAAGAAGCAGAATGCGCTCGGGCGGCTCTTGCAGGAGATCGTAGCTCGGTCGGGCAACATTACTGTCCTCGATTGGATTGGACAACCTTCCGAGTTCAATAGCTGTCTTCCAGCCTATATTACCTCTTATACCACTCTTCCACGTACCCTTCCATCTTTGTCCGAAGATCACATTCAGACAACTATCTCTTCGCTGCGACAAACTGTGCCTACAGATCTGGCATTGAAAATTTATGACCAGCTTGAACAGCTGAAAGCTCCTCGCTTTGCAAACTGCAGATTGCATCTTCCCTGCATCACCTTCCGTGTCACGCACGTCAATATAAGCTATGGTCCATCCCAGGAGGCTCAATATGAAGTCAAGGGAGATGGGCTTCGTGACCTGCTGATCACCACCAAAGACCCGATTGTTCAGTTCTCGCGGATAAGGCCCACTCAGCAAACCTTCGTGCTTGTACGTCCCTGGGATCGGTCTCTCCTCGAGCTACCAGACTTTGCAGATTTGCCCGACGTTGGGGACGATACGGAGAGCGAGGGGGATTATTGGACGCCACCTTCTTCTCCGTCAGATGACTCATCTAGCCGCTCTCTTCTAAAACAGGAAGTGGTTGATCTAGAATCACGAGCATTGCGGTTGATTGTTCGTCTCGGGCAGCCTTTCAGGGCATTTTTGCTAGCGCGGCAGCGCGGCGGAGAATACAAGAGGATCGCGTCGGATCGTGATATCATTGTACAGGTCAAAGATGTAACTTCTGTTCGAGACTTGATGGACATCGGGACGGTGGAAATACTGTAGATGCATGTTTTCTCCCCAATGTAAGGCTAAGTGTGAGTTCAGTAGGGAATTGCAAATAAAACGATTCTGAAGAGAGACGAGTTGGGAATTGGCTGTGACAGAGACTTTCTGAAGGACTTTTCGGTCGTTCTTGGAGCGGGAATCTGACTCTAAGATTCGCTGTAGGTAGGAGAGTACATGAGCAGTATATATACGTTTTCGAATACTTGACTAGGCCGGAACGAGAACATGAAGTGTAAGGCGAGGTGAAAATACTTCGGTGAGACAAGGAGATGGTGAGGTCTGAGCACAAGGTAAGGTAACGAAAGAAAATGGACAAGGGAGATGAAGGAATGTATCCACGTAACTCGGATGCGAAGAGTTGCGCTCTTCGCATCAATGAGTCACGTGGACGATTGCGACCGCGTGGTTCGTTGGTGTTCATTTTTAGAGCTTGGTCGGGGTGTAGAGAATATGGAATCCTTACACCACCTCCCTACTTCGAATATCGACCATCCTTGGTTGATCTTCAAACTAAATAAAATAAGATTGTATCATATTTTGAACTGGCAGAGAGGAATCAAGAATCGGAACAGAGAAGATGAAGGACACATCTAAATTCATTCTGAAGTGGCGCCTGCAAGATTTTTGATATTGAGATATTGGGTGACATCGAGAGAGGTCGGAGAGTGAGGATGATAAGGTACGAGGCGAAAAGCTGCGAATTTGAGCTTTGAAATGGCGCCGTTGACTTCTGCGAGACGATAGGAGCCTCCCTTAGATTGTGAAACAACAACCATGGGTCCAAAATAGCGTGGCTTGCATTTGGCGTTGGATGTGGCTTCGATCTTCTTGTTAAGGACTAGGACAAGAGAGCTGGGGGGAAAATCATGGTCATGGATCGTGTTGGCAAAACATTTCTCAAAGTTTCGGATGGATGTAAAATGGCTGTTGACAAGTCATTCATGAGCAACTGCAAGGTCCTTGTCTCATTTTAAAAGTTGGTGAGTGTGTGAACTGATAAGGTCAGAGGTCAGAACTAGTGCAGAAATATCAGGGAGCAGGAATGTGGCTTCGGCGAGATCGAGAGGGAGTAAAGGCTCTATTCCATGGGCAAGATAGAATGGGGAATGACTGGTAGATTTTTGTGTAGTGACTTGATTGGCCCAGAACACATGAGGAACATTTTTTGGCCATTGGGTGATGTCACCGTTGCATGCTTTGACAAGGGAGTCCCAGATAGTTTGATGTGAATGTTTGACAACTCCATTTGCTTGGGAGTTATAGGCTGAAACTCGAATATGATGGATCCCATACTTTTTTGCCAACCAGTCCACTGCTGCTATGAATGGTGTCCTGTTGTCTGTTATGATCTCTTCAATCATGCCCCATCTACAGAGTATGTCCTTGAATAAAAATGCACCCAAGGTGCATGCCATTTCAGTTTTTAGCATGTGCCATTCTGGCCAAGCTGACAAGGAACAATGAGCTTGGACTATGCAGTCATATCCATGTGACATTGGCATGAACATAGTGTCCACATGTGTCTTTTGGAAGAGGGAGGCTGGCATAGTAATAGAGGGTGGAAGGACAACTTTAGTGATGGAATGAGTTTGGCACTGATAACATGTCTTCAGGTACCATTGGAGGTCATGGTCTAAGGATGGCCACCAGAATCGGTCCGCTATAGTTCAATGAGTTGAGTAGGAACCTTTATGGCTGAGTGAGTTGTGGGTTTCATGGAGGATGCGGGTACAGTTTGGTGTGGATATAACTAGCTGATGCCATCCTCCTGACTCCTTTCTCCATAGGTGATTGCCTCTAATGAAAAACTGGGATGAGCATTTGATGAGCTGTGAACAATCTTTGCTAGAGATGGTTGAGGGGAAGGAAAGGGTTTCTAGATAGATTTGGATGGTGTGGAGTTTGTTATCCAGGCGCATGAAGGTTTCTGTTGAAGGAATGTGAGAGTCAGAGATGTGTGAGGTGCTTGTTATTGTCAAAATGAGTGAGCTGGTGTGGGAAGGCCATTCATCATCCACTTCTTTTGCTACCCATATCCCACATCCTAGGATCTTGTCAATCTCATTCTCCACATCTTCTGAAGTTTCATTCCAATCTTCTTCATCTTTGGGTGCTGAAGGATGATGGGATAGTCCATCTGGGCCGGTGTGTTTCAAACCTGGTATGTGCTTAAGTTTGAAATCAAATAAGGATATTCCTGTGATCCATCTGTTGACTGCAGTGTTGGGATGAATGTCCGGGTTGCTGATCATGCCTTTGATGTATTTAGCATCCACTTCAACAGTAAATGTTCTGAGACTGATAAGCCAGACCTTGGCTGCTCGCAGGGCACAGAACAGTCCATATAACTCAACCTTTGCTTGGGAGTAGTGGGACTCTCGCTCATTCCAGGTGATTGAGCCAAAGTGGGATGGACAACAGCAGCCCTCATTATCAATTTGGAGGAGGATCCATCCGCACGTGATATAGGACGAGTCCACAGAGAGTATCACTTCATTTCAGGAGGAGTAATCTAAAGGGCGAATGGTGGGGGATGAGGTGACTGCTTTTTTGAGCTGGTCCATGGAAATCTGTGCTTCCTTCAACCAAACGAATGGGACATTGTTACAGGTGAGGTTGGTGAGGGGGCAGGAGATGGTGGCATAGTTCTGGATCCAGTTGTGCAGGGTTCCTGCAGTGCCAAGAAAGGCGCAAACTTCGGTCTTTGTTGTACATGATGGCCAGTGTGTGATTCTGGAGACTTTCAATTCATCCGGAACACGGCCTTCATAAGTACACTTCTGACCAACTACTAGGACTTCAGGGACACATAGGAACAGTTTTTTTGCTGATACGGTAGCTCCTGCATGTTTGAGATGGTGGAGGACTTGATTGATGTCCTCACAGTGTTCCCAAATGAACCTTCTAATACCAGGGTTTTTGGAATTGAGCTCATATTGTGTGCAGGGTCCTAGGACATTAACATCATCTTGAAAGTTCAGTGCAATTTTGATCTTGGCTTGCAGGATAAACACAACATTGTTTTGGAAGACAGTGGGGGAGTCGGTCCAGCCTTGGAGAAGGACAGTGAGATGATACGTGCCAAGAGGGGTTTGGAAGGTTGTGATATCGTGGGACTCCTCTGCTAAAGCTCAATGGTTGAATCCTACAAATAGGTCCATCATTGAGTAAATTGAATGCCCCATGCATTGTTCTGTGAATAACTTGACATAAGGCATAGATGCAGCATCTTTTACCATGATAGAGTTGAGCTGCTGAAGGTCATAGACAATTTGAACAGCTCTGTTTTTCTTTGCAACGCAGAACCAGCACAATTGATAGGACAAGTTTGATGGTTTGTAAACACTGGATGTGATCTTTGATTTGATGAGCTTGATTACTTCTTCTTTGATACCTGGTGGAATGGGAGGCTGATGGTGCACCCAGGGTACATGCTTGATGGTGGGGATAATTATGGGGGGGAAGTAGTCTTCTTGAAAATGGCCTTTCTCCAACTCATCCCATGCTAAAGCTAGCTCATTGTTCATCAGCACCTGTGCGGCGAGCTTCTGTTCTTTGGGCAAGAGAAAGTTGTTTTGAAGGATCCCAAGCTCATCCATTCATTCTTGAGTGAGTCAGATGCCAGGAAGAAATTTGGGAGGAGTGGTAGATAAAGAAGAAAGTGATAAGAGTGGATCTTCAGGGAATCGGCAGATGATATGTGCATGTGCTGGCATAGTTGTAGGTACAGGCTTTACCTTGTTGGCCACCTTTTTGTAGGTGAAGGTGTGGTGGGCTGGGTTGATTTCAAAATAGGCTTGAAGAAGAAATTCGGCAAAGGAGGTGAAGGTGAGACAGGATATGGGAAGAGGCGTTATGTGCATTGGATGATTTGATTGTGTGGTAGATGTCGGTGGAGCTGATTGATAGGAAGGTATATTGGTAGAACTTATCGGATTGATGGCATGGTAGATGTCTGTCAAGCTGGTTGGTAGGATGGCATGGTATATATCTGTCAAGCTGGTTGGTAGGATGGCGTGGTATATATCTGTTGAGCTGGTTGGGTTGATGGCGTGGTATATATCTGTCGAGCTGGTTGGTAGGATATGCGGGGTAGATAGAGCTGGCTGAGGCATTGGGATAGCTAGGAGTGCAGAGGTGAGGGCGAGGGAGGGGTGTGGCCAAGGACGAGGGAGAGTTTTGATAGTATGAGTGTTGGAGCTGTCCATAGGGTCTTGAATAGTTATATATACCTTATCCATATCTTCAACCTTGGACAAGCGAACAAGCTTCTGCCAGGGATGTCCCAGGAGCAAATGATAAGGTGCATCTGGTATGACATAAGCATGCACCCAACTTTTGATGCCTTCGACTTCTATTTCTAACATCTCAACGCATCCTCCCATCTCTTGGGCTCCCCCATTTGCTGTCTGCACCTTCATTCAAACTTGCTGGTTTCTAGGTGTGTTAGTCTTCTTCCAGACATCTTCCCTTATAATGATGATTTCAGACCCTTCATCAAGCAACCCTAATTCGGAGTGGACCCCATTGAGCATAATGCGGAACTCATGGAGAGGCATGGCATGTTCAATTTGAGGAGGAGGGATGGTGGAGGTGAGAGTATTTGTTGAAATGGCAGTGGTGGGTGCAGGAACTTGGTGCATTCAACAATGGTCCACTGCCTCTTTTTGTAACTCTGGACTGATGGCGAGGGGGTCAGCTATCATTATGTTCGGTACTACTATGTCCAGGATTGTTTTGTAGATACACTGAGTGGCATCAGGTACAGTGGTTTTCGACTCATAGGAGAAGGCTGGAGGTTTCTTTGTTGCCACATCTGGGGGTTTGGAAGAGGCTTCAATGAGACGTGGTGAGGACAGATCTTCCTGCAAGTTGGGGTTAGTGATGAGGCTCTCTTTCACTTTTGACCACATGATAGCATTAATGTCTCTCCGATCTTCTTCTTCCTCAATTGTAGCTATAACCGCATGGTTCTCCGCTACTGGAGTGCACTGTAGGAAGTAGGATTCTGATATGAAGGTGGAGGAGGGGATTTTGGTGGAGGTTTGTGGCACTGCTTCATGTCGAAGATTGTTTACTGGTATAGCATTGGATCCAGTGGTGGGAACCGGAAGGGCAGGCATAGCGTATCTTGCATCAATTACCTGCTGAAACATCTTGTTCCCATATTGTCATATTCAGGACTTGTCTGGAAAGGCAAAGAACTGCCCTTCTCAGATGACTCGCCCAGCCCATAGGTATTCGCCAGCAGTTGAGCAAGCACACATGATGTGGGGACCTCCACAGAAGAAACATATGGGACCTGGCTGTTGGCTAGATGTGGATGGAAGAGGCAGGAGGGGTAGGTATGACATTGGAGTTTGACTGGGCGCAGCACTGGCAAGGTGGTGTGGATTGGAGGGATGACGCAATGCTTGGGTAGGTGCAGTACTGACAAAGTGATGCGATTTCGGTGAAGGCCATGCTTGAGCTGCAGTTGGCATTAAGCCAGCTAGGTGAGTATAACAAACGGCATAGGCGGCATCCATAATATCGAGCCCATGCATCTTTCAAGCTAGGTCGTCAACTTTGTCCTTGGTTGATTTAACAGGGGCAGGGGTTCTAAAGGCCACTTGTTTGGTCTGCACCTCTCATCACGCATCTCACTGTTCATCTTCTTCATCTGAGTCCAGATTGTGGTGGGACGCTTTGGATTTGGGTGCTTGCACCTCACATATTGATCTAAGGCGACTGGCAATAGGTTCATGTAAGTCAGCATCATATGCATCATCTGAAAGAACGAATTGCCCAGCCTCTAAGGCTTTCTCAATATCTGGGGCTTCATTATGGGTATAGTTTGTCTCCTTAAGTTCCAATTGTCGGTCAATAGCTTGGCATACTGACTGGGGCAGTCCTTGTAGGAAGTACCGGTCACGTTCATGAGCTGTAATCTTAGAGTTCGTGATCAGCCAAGCTGCAATAGGACAGAGCTGACAGTAATATTGGAGTAGCTCCATTTTGGTGGAGATTTCCAATTCCGCAGTGTTAAGGATAAGGTGCTCTAAGTCTCGGATTGTGTACCGTATGCCCCGATTAGCATGGGGGTACTTGGCCAGGATATTCCTTTTGAAGAGCATGTAGTCCTTGCTCTCATATCTGGCTATCATGACCCAAAACCATTTGGTGAGAGTGTCAGTATATCTCACAATGGTCTTGCATTTTTGCTCATCTGTAAGTGTGCAGGGGGCAGCTAAGTCCTTGAAGAGTTCAAAGAAGTCAAGGAGCTCAGATGTTTTGCCCTCAAACAACGGTGCTTTGTGGGATCTGGGTCCAGGCATGGCCACCATTCCTTTAGTTATGTTTGACATGACTGGCGAGGCTGACGTTAGAGTGGAGGGGGTTGGGAGTGTCTGAGATGAGGAGGATGGTGGTTTGTGAGAGGGAGGAGCATTAGAGGTAGGAGCAGTAACCTGGAGAGCCGGGGTGATGGAGGGATTCGTGGAGTGTTTGGTCGGTTTAGAAGGGAGTGAGGGAGGTTTGAGAAACTCAGGCTGGGGTATAGGAGGTAGTGTAGTGATCAGAGGTGCTGGTTCCTTGATTACTAGGTCGGTCAATATTAGGGGGAGGGTAGGAGTTTCCAGATCGAATACAGCCGGTCTAAGAATGAATGTAGGTTGTGGGGGAAGTGAAGGAAAGGGGGAGTCAGTGGGAAACAGTCGGTTTATAGTGTTGTTGTCTGACAGGGATGATTCTGTTCAACTTTCGGAGGAGTCTCTAATACTTCTAGTGCACTGTTCCAGTTTTTGGCGAGTTGGGGTGATGACAGTCATATCAGGAGGTAGTGCAAGTGAGTTTGAGAGGGTGGTGAGGGTACTACTAGTATAGGTATTAGCACAATTCCAGCGCTTCTTTGGCAGTATGGTGTCTTTTGAAGGGGCCAGCACAGGCAGTGTGTCTTGTTGAAGACGTAGCTGAGTGTTGGGGTGGTAATACTTTGAAATGATGAGAGGGGTGGTCAGATGACCAGGTGCTAAGAGAGAGAGACTAGAAGGTCAGTAATCGACTGATGAATCAAACTTGGGACGCAAGGGATCATTCAAGAACAATTCCCTTGTGGTAGGCTCCAAAATACAGTGGCTCAAAAAACTGTCCGCATGTTTTGACATTTTTCACTATCTATGATATTGTGTGAGAACAAACAAATGCCTCAAGGACATGGTTATACCACATTGTAGTATGGCTTCAGGGCTTTCATTTGAGCCCTACACCATGGGAATCGGTAGAGATATGGTGGAGATACAAGGCTCACAAAATGGTGACTCATGCAGACAGTTTTTTGACTCAAGTATTTTACAATAATAACCAGGTATTCTAGTATTTTGTATGACCTCCCTTGGCTTTAATTACTGCCTCTATCCTTCTAGGCATACTCTCAATTAATTTCTGGCAATCCTCAGCTGTGATCTTCCCCCATTCCACTGCTACTCTCTCCCAAAGCTCCCATACTTCTTTAGAGGGGTTTTCATAGGCTTGAAGCTTTTCTTGAGTGTTCCCCAGAGATGTTCAATGACATTGACATCAGGAGACTGTGCTGGCCAGTCAAGAACATTGATGTTATGTTCTTCAAACCATTCCTTAGCTCTTCTGGATGTGTGTGGGATCATTATCCTGTTGGAAAATGATATCTTCTTCATCAATCCCTGATTCTGCCAAGCTAGGCAGCAAGTGGTCATTTAAAATGTCCACATACTGCTCAGCATTCATCTTCCCCTCAACCTCAGCAAGCATTCCCACACCATTCCATCCCATACAGCCCCATACCATTAAAGAACCTCCTCCAAACTTGACAGTCCCATTAACCTCTCTGTCTGTTAGGCCATCTCCCTTCTTTTTCCATACACATACCTTCCCATCTGACCCAATCCTATTGATTTTGGTCTCATCTGACCATATAACATGCTTCCAGTCCTCTACAGTCCAGTGTTGATGAGCTAAGGCAAAGGCTAGTCTTCTCTGCCCATGTTTGATGGAGAGAAGAGGCTTTTTCTTCTTTGTTACTGCCTTGAGATGAGCTGCCTTGAGAACATTCCTCACAGTTTGTGAAGAGACAGGGGTAGTAATGGTGGAATTGATATAATGGGTGGCTTGGACAGCATTATCAGCCTTTCCTGTAGTGATATGTTGGATAATAGCCCTTTTGTCAGTAGAGGTAAGCTTGGATGGATGTCCTCCGCAAGAGTTTTCCTTGTCTGGGTGGCTTTCTTTGATAAACTTGGCCACAGTGGACTTGCATACTCCAGTTCTAGAGGAAATTTGGCAAGCAGAGAGGCCAGCATAAGACAGAGAGAGGATATTATCTCTTTGAGCAGAGGAGATGGCTTTCATGGTGATTATGACTATGATACATGAGATATTCTGTTTTATATAGTTAGATATAGTCATAAAATAACATAATGACACCACTTCATAATTTATATAATAGTGGCATGATTTTTGTGGTGTCATAAATAATGATTTATATAGTTTTAATATACACTCAAAAAACTGTCCACATGAGTCATCATTTTATAAGCCTTATGTCTCCACCATATCTCCACTGATTCCACAGTGTAGGGCTCAAATGAAAGCCCTGAAGCCATACTACAATGTGGTATAAGCATGTCCTTGAGGCATTTGTTTGTTCTCACACAATATCATAGATAGTGAAAAATGTCAAAACATGTGGACAGTTTTTTGAGCCACTGTATGTAAGGCTAAGTGTGAGTTCAGTAGGGAATTGCAAATAAAACAATTCTGAAGAGAGACGAGTTAAATAGTTTCAAGATGAGTTGGGAATTGGCTGTGACAGAGACTTTCTGAAGGACTTTTTGGTTGTTCTTGGAGCAGGAATCTGACTCTAAGATTCGTTGTAGGTAGGAGAGTACATGAGCAGTATATATACATTTTCGAATACTTGACTAGGCCAGAATGAGAACATGAAGTGTAAGGCGAGGTGAAAATACTTCAGTGAGACAAGGAGATGGTGAGGTCTGAGCACAAGGTAAGGTAACAAAAGAAAATGGACAAGGGAGATGAAGGAATGTATCCACATAACTTGGATGCAAAGAGTTGCACTCTTCACATCAATGAGTCACATGGACAATTGCGACCGCATGGTTCATTGGTGTTCATTTTTAGAGCTTGGTCAGGGTGTAGAGAATATGGAATCCTTACACCAAGATTAGGTTCTGAGCAGTCTTTGTTGGTACTTCATATATGTACATCAGACTATAGCTTCCTTTCAAAGCAGACTATGAAAACCTATGTGCACCACTTTTCCACCTGATACCACTAGACTAATGTCCTTTCATGCTCATCACACCTACCTGCATGGGTGCTCAGGTTCAATTTAGGCTCCAAGTTTCATCATGACATGTCGACAGTCGACAGTCATCCTTATGCAGTATCCCCTTTGATTGTGAGGGAAAGAAGACGCTTGCACTCATGATGAAGGACGTGTTCACCCACGATCGAGAATGAAATAATTCTTCTGAGCTTTTACTGAGCCTGGTGTAATATAAGTGCAAGGGGTCCTGTTAGTGAGGCTGGCCACAGAAAATATGATCATCAGCCTGAGTCACAAGAGACGAGAGATCGATATTGCCGATGGAAAGAAGTAAAACCCAACAAGAAAACTCACGCATGCTTGTGAAATGTAAAGTATGTCTTGACGAAAGCTTGACCTTCAACGACTGAACCGTGTTTTGAAATTCCTTGATGAATTTTGCAGCCGCGTTGGAGAAACCGAAACGGAAGTTGTATCCAGATAGCAGACAGGAAATGCTCGTTCAGGGACAGACCTGGTCTCATCCGTACATAGACAGTCTGTCCTATGTATGAGTTGTATGAAATTGGACCGGTATTCAGGGTAAGATTGCAGCAACAATGTGAGGGAAGTTACAAAATAACAGTGGAAAGGCGCGAGGACACAGGCTATCTGACTGTGATGGTCTGGAGGACAAACATGTCGTGCGGTGGGATAAATGAGTGAGATGGGTTTGTGTAACAGGCCAATTCTGCTGAGATAGACGCATGTTGCTGGTGACAAATTGGAGAAGATGTTGTTGATGTCTCCGGCTCGTGGTATATAGTACTCGTGATAGTGCTGTACAAGAAAGGTCACGTACTTACATCCACTAAACTCTGCGGCTATAGGCTTATGTAATAACTAGGAACCCGGATCTGGCTCTCCGTCGAGAGCTGTGCGATCAATATTGCGAAAGCATCAGAAATGATGTTGCACAGCCTGCAACTGCGTGGAATTTCTGAGCATAGAAAGAGGATCCACTTACAAAAGTTGAATCGACCAAGGTAGAGACAACGTGGTCCGCATACTTAAAGTGAGCACATCATGCATTCCTTTCCCTTGACTCGTGTTGAACACCGGGTCGCAGATGCTGACAACAGGGCTAACTGTTCCTGAGGAGGCTTGAGCAGTGTTGCTCCCTCCCATCGCGCAAATCTCCGAGTGATTTTGATCGTTGTTCCGGGAGTGGAGTTCCTGAACATGCTTAAGCAGTGTGCCTTCCCCCCGCATCAGACAACTTTCATTTTGATCGTTGTAATCGGGTCAAAAAATGCAACTCACGAGCTCTGAATGCGCGCTAGTCGGGTTTCTTGTAAGGAGGGTATTTATGCCGGTAGGTCTGCCAACAACACTAGAACTTTCCAGGAGACTCTTCTTCGTCAACATGAACTCGACCTGCCCGGATTTCGTGATAGGCGAAACCGTATGTCTTCCTCCAATTAGAACCCCATTCTACTTTTCTCTCCGCCAAAGTATATTCGATGACATTCCAGACACCTACGTCGCAATTGCTGCGCCGGTGCTCACTTTTTGGCTCATGTCTCTCATGTTCCACTGTCTTGACATCTCTAGCTGGCGATGGCTCGATAAATATCGCATTCACGAGTCCGAGGAAGTCAAATCCAAAAATTTGGTAACGCCTTGGGAGGTCGCACGCGTCAATATATTCCAGAATGTGATGCAAATTCTGCTGGGTTTAGCGTGGTTAACAGAACCGCCAGAGGTCTCGGTTGCGCGATGTCAGAGTGAGATGGAGAGCTTGGGAAGAATGCTGGTCTTGGTTGTACGACGTCTCTTCGGGAAGGAGATAGGGATGAAAATATTGGAGCTGGGGGGGCCTGAGATGACCCATTGGTTGTACTGGTGGGGAATCCCAGCTGCACAGATCTTGTTCGCGTTGTACGTGCCATCCAACGTTACCTGACTCCCTCTGATGTCTTTCTAGGTTTGTCCTCGACACTTGGGAATACTTCATCCACCGCTTGATGCACACAAACCAGTATATCTACAGAAAGATCCACTCAGAGCACCACAAACTTTATGTTCCTTATGCCTTCGGGGCATTTTACAGCCATCCTTTGGAAGGCTTCTTGATAGACACCCTAGGCATAGCCATTGCAGAGCGAGTCGCCTGTCTTTCTATACGACAGGCCATTTTCTTCTTCGTGTACGGCACAGCCAAGAGTGTCGATGATCATTGTGGATATAGTTTCCCATTTGATCCCTTCCAATTGATCAGCGGAAATAACTCAGACTATCACGACATACATCATCAGGTATGCCCCTTTACTAGTGCCTGTACTCGAAAGCGGTGTTTATGAAGCGTACAGGCCGTCGGGATCAAGTCAAATTTTTCACAGCCTTTCTTCGTCCATTGGGATGTGCTCCTCGGTACGCGCATGACCAGAGAAGATATTCAAGAACGTAGACAGAAAGTAAAGACGACGTAATACATCGAACCCGATCGTATATATGAAGTTTGGTTTTCGCCTGTATGATCTTGGTTTATATCAACAGCTACGATAATTTTGGTGAACGATGTTCTGAATTATGGCCTCTGTTCACGCAAAATGATGAATTGCATTACATTCACAAGAGCCCACTCCAGTATTTGAATCAATTTTTGAAACCGTTATCACTGTCAGCCGTTATCTCAGTGGGTAAGCGCGGGAAGATTCCATTGAATTTAATTTTAATTTTAATTAGTATTCCCTTTGAACCTGTCGGTCATGATCAAAGGGCTTGGCCACTTAGGTCAGCCCCGCTAATACTTATAGTACTTACCTATGGATAGGACACACGACATACTGTGGCGGGAACACATCTGGAACCTGTTGAAGCAAACTCTACTTCCAACCTCACCTCCCGCTCGCAATTCGACCAAGAACACGCTAAAGCTTGTCCATCTCGCGATTGGGGGGCACGGCACAACATACAATATATTCAGGTATTTGTAACGCAAGCTCCAAATTCATCCAGCCAACGAGAGGTAATTTTTCTGACCAAGATTTTGCATGGACTAGACTGATTGCTCCCGTAGGTCGTCCATGATGACGCTTTCTGCTTCCCTAGATGTTATCCCTGGAATGGGGTCCGCCGTCATTGAGCACTGTCGCGTGACTCGCGGCCACGTCGACAAAGATATAGCCGGATTCAACAAGGACATGGCTGCATTAACCGAGTCTTCACGCGGCCTTCGCTCTCGCGGGATCACTTTCTCCTGTATATCTTGGCTTCCACCCAAGACTCTTTCTACTATCTTCACATACATTGAAGAAGAGGACACTCTCAAGAGTCATACGGGCACATCCCGCCCTCGTGCTGCTCCTATTTCCATGATAATCGCGCACGTCTGCAGGCACTGGCGCCAAATCGCCCTTGAGTCCCCTACTCTTTGGGCATCCCTCAATTGTGTCTCTGCTAATTGGCTAGATATTATGTTCGAGAGATCGAAGAAAGCCATTTTAGTCGTCATCTACAGGTCACCGGGCTCGTTGCGAAAATGTTTCCAGCAGATTTTTTCACAGTTACCTCGAATCAAATTCCTCCAGTTGTGCTCATATCCATGGGAGGTCAATCGCATTTTGGACTGCCTACCATCGCAGCCCGCGCCGTCGCTTCAAACATGCAAATTCTCGGTCGCGAGGAAGTCTCGTACAGGAGTCATCAGGCCCATATCCGATGCTATTTTTCAAGGACAAGCCCCCCTACTTCGGAGCGTTGAGCTTACAGAATGTACCTTCCGCCGGACGTCCTGTATTTTTAGCCGGCTCCGAACTCTATATGTGAGATGAATAGGATCTGCCTCTGATCCCACTCTGTCGCAACTCCTGTCAGCTCTGAGACGTATGCCTGAGTTGGAGCAGCTTACGCTTGGGCTGTCATCCAGGACATCGAGCTCTCCGACCAAGTTCCACTCACTTCTGCACCCGGTTTCACACTCATTCTCGCTTGTGTGCTTGTCCGAGTCTGCGCTCGTTCTCACATGTCTGTACTCATTTTTGCTCGCTGTCATTCTCGCTGTGCAAAAGGTACAATTTATATATACATTGTTTTTACATTTATAACCACAAATTTTTAGGTAGCACCAGGGGGTTTACCCATGCTCTTGCCTAAGCGAGGACGGTTTATATTTCAAGTGTGGAGGTGTAAGGAGTGCTACTCCGCTGACGATGGAATTCCCCTTGTGCTGCTTCGATGAACTACTAAATATAAAAGCACGTCCTTGCTTTACGTATCTTTAGTGAATTAACTCTCACCCACTCATCACCCATGATCCATCAATCCCCGTCGAACTCATCACCGTCCTCACGCACGCCCCTGCAGAAGTTCAAAGGCCATGAAAAAAGCGTAAGCGCAATCGCAGTTTTCCCTGATAAACGACGGATGGTTACGGGTTCGGACGACAAGACGCTTCGCCTGTGGGACTTGAAGACGGGTGTTATGCTGAAGAAGATGGAGGGACATCGTAATCGGGTGTGGAAATTGGCGGTATCACAAGATGGGCAATTGATAGCAAGCAGTGATGATAGCGCAGAGGTCATCATCTGGCACGGAGAAACTGGAGAATCGCTCATCCAACCCATCAAAGCCCATTCCGATTGGATTCACTCGTTGGACTTTTCTCCCGATGGCACAGTGCTAGCCACTGGTTCATATGACAGAACGACGAAACTATGGAATACTAAAACCTGGAAGCAACAAGGAGATCCCATCGAGTGTGGTAGTGAAGTCAACTGCGTGCGGTATTCGCCGTCCGGAGAACTTCTTGCCATTGCAACAGATAGAAATATCCAAATTTATAATCCAAGCACGAGGGAACGTGTTGCCTTCAAGGGTCACGTGTCCAGAAACCTCTCACTCGCATGGGTGCACGATGGCACACGCCTTCTCACGTGCGGCAGTAATGCCGATCCTACCCTACGTGAATGGGATACAACAACCTGGCAGCAGGTCGGTGATCCCTGGACGGGCCACACTCGCGATATCAATGCCATCGCCGTTAACCCTACTGGTACACTCGTCGCCTCCGCATCTGATGACCACCACGTCCGTCTCTGGCGACTCTCGGATCGACGAACCGTTGCCATATCCCAGCACTCATCCTGGACGCAATGCATCACTTTCTCCGTGGACGGCAAACACATCTTCAGCGGAGGTGGTGACAAGATAATCTCAGAGTGGGCAGTACCCAACTACGTCAATTCAAAGGCATGTTTCTGTCCTTGACTCATATTCCACAACTCGAGCATGTTTCGTGCAGATCCTAACCATCAAGACAGCCCGCGATGCATGTATAGACGGAGACTTATCTACCGCTGAAGAACTACTCGCGCAAGAGATTGACGCAGATGCCAACAACTATACTTCCTATGCCAATCGCTCTTTCGTTATGGCCCGAAAGCAGAACTGGGACCACGCCTTTCAGGATGCAATCAAGTGAGATCCACTGAACATCATCGCCCCGTCATGAAAGGCTAACTCGATGGTGACATAGTCCATCAGCGTTCAGCCTTCATTGACGGGCTATGTCTCCAAGGGTATTGCCCTCTGCGGAAAAGGCGACATTCAGGACGCAAGGGCAGCATTTGATGTTGCATTCGTGTACACGGACCAAGATTCAAAAAATGTTCATTTTTTGCTCTTAGTCAAGGTACGTTACAGTTTCCTTGCATATAATCTACTTCATTCCGTGTTTCAGGCCATTGCCCTCTTCAATGCAGATCAACATGATGAGGCAAATCTGCTCCTCGAAGAACTCACAGCCGGTTGTCCGAATGCCGATACTCGTGCATGTCATATCGTGCAAGTGAGTATCATCCAGCCACGCTGGGCCATCAACGCTAAATCTGGTTCTTTCCATCTCGCACATTAGACATATCTACGCTTTCAACTCGGAATCAATGCCATGGATGGCGCGCGTCATAATGAAGCCGTTGACCATTTCACTGCTGCTCTCGACTCCGGCAACTTATCATCAAAATCGGACGTTCATGAAATATATGAGGACTTCGTGGTGGTTTGTTGATACACATTCGAAATGCTTTTCATGACTGAATTCCATATGCAGCTCTTCGGCTGGGATCTCAAATCCTTGTGGCTCACTGCACATCAGAAACGGTGCCAGGCTCTCCTTTCCGCTGGCAAAGTCGATGAGGCTCTCGAATCACACAAATCTATGATGGACAACGCCGACGAAATAACGAAGGCCAACTGTATTGACTGGTCCATTGGCAAGTCCCCAGTGATGTCACCCGAGGTTATAATACTCACCCATGTTTCACTCAGCGTTCAAGCAAGAATGCAGCGCGCTCCTTCTTACCAACGGAGATACTGCCCTCGCTGCAAGCGATTATGACAGGGCTATTGACCTCTACTCGGCAGTGATCAAGCTGAATCCTGCATCTGATGCCGTCTTCGTGAAGCGCAGTAAGGCAAGGTTGGGAAAAATGCTATGGACGGAAGCACTTCTCGATGCGCAGAAGGTGTGATGGCATTTATCATTTTTAACCTATACTTATTGTCGTGACACATAGGTCATCGAACTCAACTCCTTATCATTTCTCGGATACAATTTGAAGCACGCAGCGCTTCATGGTGCACAACGCTACGATGAAGCAATACAGGCCTTCCGAATCATGCTCTTCAAATTGGACAATGCTCCCGACATTGAGACACGAAGTAAGCCTCAATAACTCATACATACGTCAAATGCTTTAACTGTTTCTGCAGAGTTGCGCCAGCAGTATCTCAGTCCATCCGAAGTGGGCTGTGCTATTCGGAAAGTCATCGATGCTCAACTTGACAATGCTCCGCTGCGTGTGATCGACACTACCACTGGTCTCTTATGCGATCGAGAGGCGCAGATACACACCTTCAAAATGAGCATACAGTACAAGGAGCTTGTATCATCAACACTCATGTATCCAGATCACCGAATGAAGTGCGTCGAAGTAGTGGTAAAGACGTACTTCCAATATGTCATGCTATCACACAGGTGGGAAGAGAAGGAGCCGCTGTTGCAGAATGTCCAAGGCAAGGTCGTCTATGGGTTGGATCCGATTGGTGGCATCACAAAGTTGCAGTCCTTCTGCAAAACTGCTCGTTACTTGGGGTATCGCTGGGCTTGGAGTGATACATGCTGCATCGATAGGAACAACAACGTTGAGCTCCAAGGATCGGTCAATTCCATGTTCATCTGGTATCACCACTCCACACTCACAATTGTGTACCTCTCGGATGTTCTACCCTCGTCAAAGTCGGGGGCACTGGCAAAAAGCTCTTGGAACACACGCGGATGGACAGTTCAAGAATTCCTCGCTCCCAAAGTCATTCTATTTTACCAAAAGAATTGGACACTTTACCTCGATGATCACACTCCCAACCACAAGGATTCCATTGCAATCATGCAGGAGTTGGAGTACGCAACGGGCATAGATCGACGAGCTGTCGTGGCCTTCCGCTCCGGAATGAGGGATGCCCGAGAGAAACTTCAATGGGCGTCGACACGTATTACCACGTTACAGGAAGATATTGCATATTCGTTATCCGGCGTCTTTGGCGTCCGCCTACGTGTTGATTACGGCGAGAAGAAGCAGAACGCACTCGGGCGGCTCCTGCAGGAAATTGTAGCTCAGTCGGGCGACATTACTTCCCTGGACTGGGTCGGAAAGTCATCAGAGTTCAACAGCTGTCTACCAGCCGACATCACTTCATACAAAACCCCACCATGCAAATTGCCATCTCTATCTGAAGATAGGATCCAGTCATTGGTCTCCTCGCTGCGAGGTTTTGTGGATCTGGAGTTGGCTTCAAAATTGTATCAGACACTTGACTACCTGAGCGCTCCCAATTTTGCGCACCGCCGGTTGCATCTGCCTTGCATCGTATTCCCCGTCACAGAAGCCAGGCAAAAGTCAGGTCGAGACCAGGACACATATACATATGAACTCAAATCGGACGGGCTTCACGACCTGCAGATCGTCACAGAAGACAAGTTCACCCCGTTCTCGCCGGCAAGGCCGCCTCCCGCCTGGCAGACGATCTTGCTCGTTCGTCCATGGAGTCGCCATCTCCTTGAGTTGGATGACCCTACAGACGATATGCAGAGCGTGGACAATTGGTCCGTGTTCGAATCTCCGTTGCACGATTCACCCGCTACACAAAATAAGCCTGTTTATTCGGATTCTCACTCGCGAGCATTGCGATTGATTGTTCGCCTTGGACAGCCTTTTGGTGCATTTTTACTAGCGCGGCAGCGCAACAGAGAATTCAAGAGGATCGCGTCTGATCATAATATCATTGCCCAAGTTAAAGACATGGCTTCTATTGACAATATGATGGACATCAGGACACTAGAGATACTGTAGCTGTACGTAGTTTCTTAAAGATCTCTGAACGGTTTTCGTTTGTACCTTGACGATCAAACTTGTATAGTATCGTATATGCATACATACACAGATACTGGCTTGAACGTCAACTTAAACATCAATAGAACGGCTTGCCCAACGTCGAAAACAAGGGTCCAATAATCTCAGTGAGGTTTTCGAGAGATATGTATTGCCGGCAAACAATCAGTTTTCAAATGCTGAGAAATCGGTCAGAAAGGTACAATGACCCTCGTTCGTCAAAGTCTACTGGCCCCGTCTATGTGATCGCACCGGAAAATATAGTCGGTCCATATCCCAGAAAACCGCGTATCTGTGGTCGAATCATTACCAAATTGACGCAATATTTTGTCATAAGCCCACCTGTGTCATCGGACACCTTGCCTAGGTTCAGTGATCGCATCTAAACCAGCAATATCTCTATGAGAGTTATCAGTTGCCTTGGTGAATAGGTGAAAGCTGACTTAGAAACTATGCGGGCACGGGCGCACAGCGTCGCCATTAGATAGTGACTTGTGCTGACTCCAAACCTCCAATAAACCTATCTGAAGGAGTCAATATGCCATATTGATGCACATCGGGATTGGAAATACAGATACCAAACGCCACGTAAGATACATGACGCTTGCGAGAGGTTTTGACAACTCGTTTTCGCGTGCTTTTGGCAGCGACGAAACTACAGTTGATAATAAAGCACAAGTATTAACAACGTTACACGCATATGCATCAAAACTCTTACCTTTCCGTACGAATGTGACGGTTCACAACGACGCTCGCCTGTTCCGGAAGATCGTTTACCTTCACCCCACCATTCACATGATCGATGGACTGAGTATGCTCACGAAGCGCCATTCTCGAAAAGTCTCGGCGGCATGAAGCTCTCCATCGCAGTGCATACACGCAACATGATTTCCTTTAGAATGGATGTCTGGTGCGTGTCAAGGTATGGAACACTCCTGTAAGTGGATGATCCCTCCGCCTGCAGGAGAGGTATCACAGCCAGTCTGTTGTAGGTGGACCTCAAAGGGATGTCTCATAGCGGATAAAGAGTTTTGCATACCAATGCTCTTGTAAATCAAAAACGATGGGTGAAATGAGGAAGGCTCGAATGGACACCGGGAGATGCAACGTTCATTCGTACATCCAATGAACCGTTCTCGTCCATTCCAGGTACTAGTAGCTAGGAAAGGCACATACAAAGTTAACGCATCTACGCGGAATTTTAGCAACTTGCCCGCAATCCACTTCCTGAGACGAGTAGGTTTGATGCGACTCTTTGGCACGGGCGGACCTGCAACTATCAACCGCAGTATCCTTGAATAATAAAAGAATAGGAACTTCCACAGTCGCAATTCGCGAGTTCAGGCCTCGGGGAGAGACTGTGCATTGGAAGATTAGCAATCCGAGTCAAGCTGCTCTTATCGTCGGATGATCGGCGACTCCGATGTCCCTCCCCTGTAAAGGTATTTGTCGAAAACATGCCGCCCATTATGCAACTGTCGAAGCACCCGGAGAGTGGAGGATGCTGCCATCTGACAATAGTTATTTCTGAGACAGAACCACGTCTAGCAAAATTTGAGGTTCAGGTTCGATTTGCTTCAGATGGTCAGGTGATCGCTCGTGCTACACAGTTTAGAATATGAATCTACCCCACAAAATATGCGTTGCAGACTGAAAACACGCTCCGTCAATGGCGAATTTCGAGTGACTGATAAATGGTCTAGATAACGTTAGCGAGGCTCAGGATCGAGTCCGAAGGAGACAGAACATGACGCCAGAGAATGATCACGAGTCACTAAAAATTGATGATGCAGCGCCTGGCACATGAGAGTGAGAGTGAAGCCATTGGTAAAAGAACTGGTGTGAATTCACTTGGTCTCTTAGTGGTCCGTAGACGACATTCCAAAACACCCGCGATGACAATCCTTTGAACGCATGGCTCGGTAGCATCTGCGGTGAGGTTAACGACCATGTTGCACTGGTACCTGTGTTGCATGGCTCCAATGATGATGGACTTGTGAGGGGATTGGCGAATGAAAGAACTGAACTCAGTTGGGCCGGGAGTGGGCGAAGCTCAAAGTAGATATGGATTACAAGCAGAACGCTGGAAGTAAAGCACTCTTCCGTGATAGAATTGGTAATGACTTTGAGACGCCAGAAGAGAGAACTTCGGCTTCATCCGGTACACAAGCAGGTCTTGGGAGTCAAATAGGATGAAGGGGTGCTATATGCATGCGTTCGAAGGAGCCACATGGTGATGTGCTAGAGTAGCTGCTCGATACGAAAAACCACGATATTTGTGCACTCATGCAAAATAGATAGATTCGGGCGCCGGGAAGCACCGACTGCTCGATTGGATGCGATGGGATACATTCTGAAAGCCTTGAAGACGGGAGTCGGACGCATGTATGCACTGAGGCGCTGGGAGGGAGTTGGACAGCCAGTATGATATTAATGGGGTACATTCCTGCCGTAACAGTGATAGAGGTACGGAGGTGAACAGCCTGGTGTCCTGGGCGTCTATGAAAAACGAGGTAGCAGTGAAGCAGCATAAAACTCACAATACACGCACCTCTGCAGGTTAGAGCAAGACACCTACAATCCCTTCAAAATCCACCTCAACTGCGCCAAACACCATAAACCTCCAATAAAAATGACGAAGCTCATTCCAATTACCACGCCCCTGCGGAAGTTCGAAGGTCATGAAAGAAAAGTGAGGGCAGTTGCAGTTTTCCCCGATAAACGACGGATGATTACAAGCTCGGACGACAAGACACTTCGTCTATGGGATTTGGAGACAGGTATTGTGTTAAAGAAGATGGAAGGGCATCGCAGCGAGGTGTGGAGATTGGAGGTATCACCAGATGGGCAATTGATAGCAAGCGGTGATGCTGACGGAGTGCTCATCGTCTGGCATGGAGAAACTGGAGAATCACTCACGGAACCCATCAATGCCCACTCCAATGGAGAAACCGGCGAATCGCTCACCAAACCCATGCACATTGAAGCCCACTCCAGTCATATATACTCGCTGGATTTTTCTCCCGATGGAACAGTGCTAGCCACTGGTTCAGGTGATAAAACGACGAAGCTATGGTGCACCAAAACCTGGGAGCAACAAGGAGATCCCATTGAGTGCGGTAGTGATATCTGTTGCGTTGGCTATTCGCCGTCTGGAGAACTTCTTGCCATCGCAACAGATAGTAATATCCAAATTTACAATCGAGGCACGAGGGAACTCGTCGCATCCTTCAAGGGTCACACAAAATCTAACTTATCACTCGCGTGGACGCGCGATGGCACACGCCTTCTCACAGGCGGTGATGCCTCCGATCCTACCCTACGCGAATGGGATACAACAACCTGGAAGCAAGTCGGTGATCCCTGGACAGGTCACTCTAGCAATATCTATGCCATCACTGTTAACCCTACTGGTACACTCGTCGCCTCCGCATCTGATGACCACCACGTCCTTCTCTGGCAGCTCTCAGATCGACGAACCGTTGCCATCTTCGAGCACACATCCCGGACTGGATCCGCCATTTTCTCTGTGGACGGCAAGCACATCCTGAGCAGAAGCAATGAGATAATCTCGGAGTGGGCAGTACCTAACGACATCAATTCAAAGGCACGTTTCCGTACTTGACTCATATACCACAATTCGAGCATGTTTCGTGCAGATCCTAGCCATCACAACAGCCCGCATTGCATGCATAGATGGAGATTTATCTACCGCCGAAGAACTACTCACACAAGATGTCAACACTGATGTGAACAGCCATACTTCCTACGCTCATCGCTCATTCGTTATGGCGCGAAAACAGGACTGGGACTACGCCCTTCAGGATGCAAATAAGGTAAGATATACTCACCGATCATGGCCCCCTTACGAAAGACTAACTCGATGGTGACATAGTCCATCAGCATTCAGCCTTCATTGACAGGCTATATCTCCAAGGGTATCGCCCTCTGCGGAAAAGGCGACATTCGGGACGCAAGGGCAGCATTTGATGTTGCATTCATGTACACGGACCAAGATTCAGAAACCGTTCATTTTTTGCTCTTAATCAAGGTACGTTACAGTTGCCTCGCATACAATCTGCTTCATTCCGTGTTTCAGTCTATCGCCCTCTTCAATGCAGATCAACGTGACGAGGCAAACCTGCTCCTCGAAGAACTCACCGCCGGTTGTCCGAATGCCGATACTCGCGCATGTGATATCGTGCGAGTAAGTATCATGCAGCCACGCTTGGTCGTCAACGCTAACCTTTGCAACCTCACACATAAGGCATATCTACGTGTTCAACTCGGAATAAAAGCCTTGGATGGTGCACGTCATGACGAAGCCGTTGACCATTTCACTGCTGCTCTCAACTCCAGCAATTTATCATCGAAATCGGGTATTCATGAAGTATACGAGGACTTGGTGGTGGTATGTCAATACACATCCGAAATGCTATTCATTACCGAGTCCCTTGTCCAGCTCTTCGGCTGGGATCTCAAATCCTTGTGGTTCACTGCACACCAGAAACGGTGCCAAACCTTCCTTTCCGCTGGCAAAGTCGATGAGGCCCTCAAATCACACAAATCTATGATGGACAACGTCGACGAAACAACGAAGGCCAGCTGCATTGACTGGTCTACTGGCAAGTCTTCAGTAATCTCACCCAAGGCTATAATTCTCACCTGCACCTCACTCAGAGTTCCAGAAACAATGTAGTGCGCTCACTGCAACCGATGACCGTATTCTTGGCGCACGTCCTCTCTCCTTCAACCCTCTTGCTACTAACTGATTCGCAGGCGGACATCCCTGGACAAGATCAATATGGATACGATGCAGAACCTAATTTCTTCCGGGAAATGCATGGAGTACGTGCCACATTGTATTTTTCGGGTCACACGCTTACACATCGTTCATCACAGCATCCTCAAATTTCTCGACCGCGACCACAGCAACGTTCGGGGCGCATCAAGAAGCTCAGGCTTGCTGCGACAAGGAGCCTTCGATCAGGTCCTCCACTAGCACCGGCACCACCCACCACCCTACCACCACCCACCGCTCCTAACACCTTCAAAGCCCAGTTACGATACCTATTCACCTGGCGGTCTGATCATGCAGCGCCACCCGTCGTCACGGTCGATGTTCCTTTCGCGCAAGCTAAAGAGGTGCGCTCGGTTGATGTTTATCATTCTGTTTTCAGTGTCTCATGTATAACTCTATAGCGAAATGCTGCAGCGGGTGCTCCTAAGCCAGACGGGGATGTAGTACCTGATGAATATCTTGATGATCATCCACCAGACCCCCATACACAACAACAAACTACAATAGCGCAGGTAGACATTGGGGAACATGGAGGCGGGTGTTGCTGCTGTTAGAGGGGTTCGTGGATATCCCCCCGAGTATTTCAGTTCTATTGTCGCTCGTATTGTGATATCTACATGGATTCGAAGCAGTGTTTTATTACCATATCCTTTATAGATTAATTACTTCTCATCCTGACCCATGGCTAATTATCAACCTCGTATCCTCCATATACAACGCTTGGCCGGCGCGATGCGAGTGGGATGGTGAATGATAGTTCCTGTCCCACGTACAATTAATTTGTAATATCTGTGCTCATGTACTCACTCATCATTGCGAGCCACCCCGCCATGGTACTTCTGACAACTGCGAGATAAAGGGAGAGCCGCATGACAAGTCCCAGTATCCGTGTTCGAAATATGTATACGATCAATTTGTTGTCTGCAGAAAATCCATATTGTTTGTCGTGACTCTTGTAGGTCCCCGCTTTCGGTTCCAATGTGTCAATGCAAAGACTGGGACCTACAGCGTTGTGGAAAGAATCATATAAGCGCTGATTGGAGTCTGGAATATCTTCGGAACCAGCAAGATTGTGCATACTGATAAGACACAAGGTTTCGATGAGAATACCAATACAACAGGGAACATGACATCGATCGTCGCTATATGAAAACAAAGAGCCCATAACGACTATTGGATAAGTAATTATACCAGGTCACAATCACGTGATAAATCACATCGCGTGTAGCTGTCACAACCTGTTTCGAGAATCGACCCACAGTTATCACTAAATCCAACCTGAATTCTCTACATGGCACCTTGATGAAGTCATGGACACATCTCACGTTGAGGAACGCAAATTTTGACTTTTCAGAAGCAGATTATTATACAAACTAGCTCGCAGACGGATCGCATATGTACACTTACAGCCGTGCAGACTGACATGGGCTTTGATACAGTCTCGCCCTTTGCATCTATTCAGGTACGATATTTTGGTCCCGTGTTTCGTATCTTTCTAATTCCGTGACAAGATTTCATTAGATTTGGCAGGGGAGTAGAAGTAGGATATTTTACATAAAGTGTTGTTTAACGTGCGAGTCATCTGCTCTATCAGGTTAGGATATTGTGTTGGCATAGAGAATCCTTGTGTCGCTTATGGGATTGGGCCCCTGCTTGTTGTTAATAATTTTGGATTCGGGTGGTGATGGCGAGGAGACATTAAACTAGTACAACAAAACTCGGTTGCATCCGGTGCATAAATGAATCTCGAGAGTCCTACAGGATGAAGAAGTGATACTATATGTGTGGGTTTGGAATGTTGATGTGCTGGAGTAGCTGCTTAACACGAGAAACGCTGATATTCATGCGGCCATCCAGGAATTAGCGACTACCCTATCATAAGTGGATGCGAAAGTATACATATCGGAAGCTGTGGAGACAAGAGTCAGGCCCACTGTACACAGTGCAGAGGCGCCAGGAACATTGTGTATTCTCAAAGAAGGCAGGTACAACAGTAAGGGAGCATTTTTGCCGTGATGGTGATGGAGGCGACAGCCTTGTGTCCTGGGCGTCTATTAAAACAAGGCAAGTTACGAACAGTGAAGCAGCATAAAACATAGTACACGCACCTCTGGAGTTGACAAAAAGACACCCACAATTCTTCCAAAGTCCACCGCAACCGTGCTCAACACCATCAACCCAATAGAATGTCGGAGCTCATTCCAATCACTACACCCCTACGAGAGTTCAGAGGCCATCAAGAACGCGTAAGGGGGGTCGCAGTGTTCCCCAATGGACGACGGATGATTACAGGTTCGGACGATAAGACACTTCGTCTGTGGGACTTCAAAACAGGTGTGATGTTGAAGAAGATGGGGGGATATAGCAAGGGGGTGTGGCCATTGGCGGTATCACCAGATGGGCAATTGATAGCAACCGGTGATATAGGAGGAGGGCTCATCGTCTGGCAGGGAGAAACTGACGAATCGCTCAACCGACCCATCCATATTAATGTCCACCTCGATGCCATCTACTCGCTGAGTTTTTCTCCCGATGGAAAAGTGCTGGCCACTGGTTTAGGAGACAAAATGACGAAGCTATGGTGCACCAAAACTTGGGAGCAACAAGGGAGACAAATTGAGTGTGATAGATTGCCCCTTTGCATTCGGCATTCGCCGTCTGGGGAATTTCTTGCCATCTTAACAACTGGCAATATCCAAATTTATAAGGCAGGCACTAGGGAACACATCATAACTTTCAAGGCTCACAAACGATTCTACTCGACACTTGCATGGACGCCCGATAGCACACGCCTTCTCACAGCTGGCCAAGATCCAAATCCTACCATATGTGAGTGGGATGCATTGACCTGGCAGCAGGTCGGTCATCCCTGGACTGGCCATACCGGCGTAGTCAGTGCCATTGCCGTTAATCCTACTGGCACACTCGTCGCATCCGCATCTGAAGACAAACATGTCTGTCTCTGGCGGCTCTCAGATCGACGAACCATTGCCATATTCAAGCACTCATCCTGGGTGCAATGCGTCACCTTCTCTGTGGACGGCAATGAAATCCTCAGCGGAGGTGACGATAAAATGATCTCAAAGTGGGCAGTACCCAACGACACCAATTTAAAGGCACGTTTCCGTAGGCCTTGGCTTATATACCACAAATTGAGCATGTTTCGTGCAGATCCCAGCCATCTCGACAGCCCGGGATTCATGCATCGATAGAGACTTGTTCACCGTTGAAGAACGATATATCAAAACCGATGCGAACAACCACGCTTCCTACGCCAATCGCTCAAAGGTATGTTTTTCCGTCCCTGACTCATATACCACAATTCGAGCATGCTTCATGCAGATTCTCGCCATTACAACAGCCCGCGATGCATGCATAGATGGGGACTTGTCTACCGCCGACAAACTACTCATGCAAGAGATCGACACCAATGTCAACAACCATACTTCCTATGCCAATCGCTCATTTATCATGGCGCGAAAACAGGACTGGGACCACGCTCTTCAGCATGCAATAAAGGTGAGATATACGCACTGATCATGGCCCCCTTACGAAAGGCTAACTCGATGGTGACATAGTCCATCAGCATTAAGCCCTCATTAACAGGCTATATCTCTAAGGGAATTGCTCTCTGCGGAAAAGGTCATGTCCAGGACGCGAGGGTAGCATTTGATGTTGCATCCATGTACGCGGACCAAGACTCACAAACCACTCATTTTCTTCTCCTAATCAAGGTATGTTACATTTGCCTTGCATAGTCTCCGCTTCATCACGTACTTCAGGCCATCGCCTTCTTCAATGCAGATCAACATGACGAGGCAAACCTACTACTCAAAGAGCTCGCTGTTGGTGGTCCGAATACCGATACTCGCGCATGCTATATCGTGCAAGTAAGTACATGCAGCCATGCTATGCCACCAACACTCAGATTCTTTGCAACTCGCACATTAGGCATATATACGTGTTCAACTCGGAATCAATGCCTTGGATGGCACGCGTTACGATGAAGCTGTTGACCATTTCGCTACCGCTGTCAACTCCAGCGCTTTCTCATCGAGATCACCCATTCACTTTATGTACGAGGACTTGGTGGTGGTACGTTAATACACGTCCGAAATGCTTTTCATAACCGAGTTCCTTGTTCAGCTCTTCGGCTGGGACTTGAAATCCTTGTGGCAAAAGGCACACCAGAAATGGTGTGATGCACTCCTTCGAGCAGGTAAACTTCAAGATGCCGTGAAATCATACCGGCACATGATGAGTTCGAGTGACGAAAATACCAAGGCCGACTGCCTTGACTGGTCCAACGGCAAGTCTGGAGTTCGTAATACCGTGCAGGCTTCAATTCTCACCTGCATTTCTCTCAGATTTCAAGCAAGAATGCAGCGCGGTCTGTCTTACCAATGGAGATGCTGCCCTCGCTGCAAGCAAGTATGACAGGGCTATTGACCTATACTCCGCGGCAATCGACCTGGATTATACATCTGATGTCATCTTTGCAAATCGCAGCAGGGCCATGTTAGGTAAAATGCTATGGGACGCAGCGCTCTTCGATGCACAAAAGGTGCGATGACATCTACGTTTTTGTAGCCCGTGTTGACTTACGGTGATACATAGGTCACCGAACTCAATCCTTCGTCTTATGTTGGATACCAGTTGACACATACAGCGCTGCGTGGCGCGCAATATTACGACGCAGCCATCGAGGCATTCACAATCATGCTGTCCAAGTTGGACAATGCTCACGAAGCGCGGGTACGAGGTAAGCCTTGGAACACTCCTGCAACGTTTCGAAATACCTATCTCATTCTGCAGATCTGCGCCAGCAGTATATCTGTCCATCCGAAGCAGAAGACGCTATTCAAAGAGCTGTTTGGATTGAACTCGAATATGCCCCGCTTCGTCTGCTCGACACCTCCACGGGTCTTTTGTGTGATCGAGCAGCACAAATGAGCGCCTTCAAAGCGAGTACAAAGTACAAGGAACTTTTGTCGTTCACAACGAAGCATTCAGATCTCCAAATGGAGCGCATCAAGGACGTGGTAGCGACGTACTTTCGCTCCGTCCTGCTATCACACAGATGGGAAGAGACGGAGGCGCTGCTGCACGATATCCAGGACAAAGTCTTATACGAGTTGAATGGTGTTGGTGGCATCGCGAAACTGCAGTCATTCTGCAAAATTGCTCGTGATGCTGGGTATCGCTGGGCATGGATGGACACATGCTGCATCGACAAGAGGAGCAATACCGAGCTTCAAGAATCGGTCAACTCCATGTTCGTCTGGTACCGCCACTCAGCGCTTACCATCGTCTACTTGTGCGATGTCCCTCCTTCATCTCAGCCCGGTGCACTGGCGAGGAGTGTTTGGAACGAGCGGGGATGGACCTTTCAAGAATTCGTCGCTCCGAAAGTCGTTATCTTTTATCAGAAGGATTGGTTATTATATCTTGGCGATCGCTCTCCCAACCACAAGGAGTCTCCTGCGATCATGAAGGAGTTGGAGGATGCGACGGGAATAGATGCACGGGCCCTGATCTCCTTCCGTCCAGGGATGAGCAACGCCCGACAGAGACTTCAATGGGCGTCATCACGCGTCACTACATTGCAAGAAGACATTGCGTACTCATTGTTTGGTATCTTCGATGTCCACCTACCTGTAATTTACGGCGAGAAGAAGCAGAACGCGCTCGGGCGGCTCCTCCAGGAGATCGTGGCGCGGTCGGGCGATATCACTGTCCTCAACTGGATCGGACAATCGTCCGAGTTCAATAGCTGTCTTCCAGCCCATATTACCTCTTATACCGCTCCTCCACGCACCCTTCCATCTTTGTCGGAAGATCAGATCCAGACAACTATCTCTTCGCTGCGAAAAAATCCTGTCGCTGTGGATTTGGCTTTGAAACTTTACGATCGGCTCGATGATACGAGCGCTGCTCGTTTCGCGAACTGCAGACTGCATCTGCCCTGCATCACCTTCCATGTCACAGACGTCAGTTTGAGCTATGGTCCATCCCAAGAAACCCATTCTACGTATGAAATCAAGGCAGACGGACTACATGACCTCCTGATCAGCACCAAAGAGCCGATCGTTCAGTCCTCGCGGACAAGGCTCATTCAGCAAACCTTCATGCTTGTCCGTCCCTGGGATCGGTCCCTCCTTGAGCTACCTGACGTTGCAGATCTGTCCGACGTTGGGGACGATGTGGAGAACGAGGGGGATTATTGGACTCCACTTTCTTCTCCGTCAGACGACTCACCTAGTCGTTCTCTTCTAAAACAGGAGGTGGTTGATCTGGAATCACGAGCATTGCGGTTGCTTGTTCGCCTTGGGCAGCCTTTCGGGGCATTTTTGCTAGCGCGGCAGCGCGGCGGAGAATACAGGAGGGTTGCGTCGGATCGTGACATCATCGCACAGGTCAAAGATGTGGCTTCTGTTGTCGACCTCATGGACATCAGGACGATAGAAATACTGTAGCTGTATGTTTTCCCCGAGGATTAGGGATCTGAGCGGTTTTTATTGGTACTTGCTACTCATACATGCATGCATATGTAAATATTGGACTATAGTTTCCTTTCAAAGCGGGCCATGGGGACCTATCCGCACCACTTCTCCGTCCTACACCACTAGATTAATACCCGAACATGCTCATTACACCTACCTGCATGGGTGCTCAGGTTTCATGTCTCGTTCGCTCACACCCTTCATCCTTGAGAATTATTTGTGAGTGGGACTGTGACACGCGTGAGCTTTTCGATAGAGTCATGCACAGGGCCGTCTAACTTTACTGCTCTGCGTTTGATATTCCCTTCCAAGTGTCTTCATCCCATCGTGATCATCGTCATCTACCCTCTCGAGAGTTTTACTCACTTGTGCGATCACTTCGGTTACCTTGCAAACAAATATCGATATATCAACTCCCACATTTTGCTAAACATCACTTCCATTAAACACGCAGTGCAACGCAAAACTGAGAGCAAGTGGTGGCTCTCGGACCTCCCGCTGGCATTTCGGGCATCAAGCAGGGCGAAGAATCTTTTATCCCATGGCACTGTCATCCAACACAGCACTCAGTCGATCCTCCTCCGACTCAGTGTCTTGATATATTGAGGACATAGTGGGGCTTTACCTGCCATTCTTGCAGCCCAATTCCTCCCCGCCATCCCAAAGTGAAACATGAAACCAGCCCGCAGACGAATCAAGTACACATGATGCATTCGTACCTATGCAGGCTAACATCCGTGGAAGATATTTCGTCAGGCTTCCGTTTGTAGCGTTGATGTGCCACGATGAAGGACGGAGTTTTCATTACAGCCCTTGGCGCCTGTTCAGGTGCGATATTTTTGTCCCGTATCTTGTATATCTTTCTAATTCCGCAGTAAGATTTGGCAGGGAAATAGAAATAGGATATTTGAAAATGTTGTTTGATATGCAAGTCATGTAACCTATCAAGGTCTCCGTGACTAATGGACTCCGAGTCTGGTGGATCTTATCAGTCGGCAGCTTTTCTTGCCCTTTTCACGTGTCCTCAGATTTGGGTTTTGCAGTGGACAACACTGCAGATGTAGGATGTTGTGTTGGTGTGGAGAACTCTGGGATGGACCTTGCATCGCTTGGATTGGGATGATGTTACTGTTACTGGTAGTTTTATATTTGGGTGGCGGTGGTGCAGAGACGCCGAGTCTGTATAATGAGACTCGGCTGCATGCTGCATGTGGTGTACGCATGGGATCTTGGGAGCCTACGGGATGAAGAGGTGATATCACAGTAAGCTATATGCACGGGTGTGGACAAGTTATATGTTGATGTGCTGGAGTCGTTGCTCGCCATGAAACACCAAAAATCACGCGGTCATCCAGGATAGATGCGATGGGATACTTATTGGAAGATGCGGCGATAACAGTTGGGCCCCATGATGTACACAGTGCAGAGGCGCCAAGAGCATATATTACCGAGAAAAGCGGTTATGATAATAGGCGTAACCGTGATAATGATGGAGGCGAACATCTTCGTGTCCTGGGCGTCTATGGCGTAAGACAGATTAGCGCTGTAAAGCAGCATAAAACGCACAATACACGTACGTCTGCAGCTTGGAGCAAGAGACCCATGATCCCTCCAAAGTCCACCTCAACCCCATCAACCTCCAACAAAATGCCGAACCTCATTCCAATCACTACACCCCTGCGAGAGTACAAAGGCCATGAAGGACGAGTAAGGGCAGTCGCAGTGATCCCCGACAAACGACGGATGGTTACAGGCTCGGATGACAAGACACTTCGTCTATGGGATTTGGATACAGGTATTGTGTTGCGGAAGATGGAAGGGCATAGCAGTGAGGTTTGGAGATTGGTGGTATCACGAGATGGTCAATTGATTGCAAGTGGTGATGCTGGCGGAGTGTTCATCGTCTGGCATGGAGGAACTGGCAAACGACTCACCCGACCCATCAAAGCTCACTCCAATGTGATCTACTCGCTGGATTTTTCTCCTGATGGAACGGCGCTGGTCACTGGTTCAGGGGACGGGGTGATGAAACTGTGGAATACCAAAACCTGGGAGCAACGAGGAAAACCAATCGAGTGTGGCTATGTCCGTTGCATCCGATATTCGCCATCTGGAGAACTTCTTGCCATCGCAACAAAAAACAACATCCAAATCTATAAGCCAGACACAAGGGAACACGTCAGATCCTTCAAGGCTCACAGATCAGAAAACTTCTCGCTCGCATGGACTCCTGATGGCTCACGCCTTCTCACAGGCGGCGATAAAGACAATCCTACCATATGCGAATGGGATGCAACAACTTCTTGGCAGCAGGTCGGTGATCCCTGGACAGGTCACACTAGTCAGATCCATGCCATCGTCATTGACCCTACTGGTACACTTGTTGCATCTGCATCTAATGACCAGCATGTCCGTCTCTGGCGGCTCTCAGATCAACAAACCGTTGCCACCTTCAAGCACGCATCCTCGACGGGATCCGTCACTTTCTCCGTGGACAGCAAGCACATCCTCAGCAGAAGTGATAAAATAATCTCAGAGTGGGCAGTACCCAACGACATCAATTCAAAGGCATGTTTTCGTCCTTGACTCATACACCACAACTCGAGCATGTTTTGTGCAGATCCTAGCCATCACGACAGCCCGCATTGCATGCATAGATGGAGATTTGTCTACTGCCGAAGAACTACTCACGCAGGAGATCGACAACGATGCCAACAACTATACTTCCTATGCCAATCGTTCCTTCGTTATGGCGCGAGAACGTGACTGGGACCACGCTCTTCAGGATGCAATCAAGGTGAAATTCACAGACTTATCATCGCTCCTCATCAAAGGCTAACTCGACGGTGATGTAGTCCATCAGCATTCAGCCCTCATTGACTGGCTATATCTCCAAGGGTATCGCCCTCTGCGGAAAAGGCGACATTCGGGACGCAAGGGTAGCATTTGATGTTGCATTCATGTACACAGACCAAAATCCAGAAACCGTTCATTTTCTGCTCTTGATCAAGGTACGTTACAGTTGCCTCGCATACAATTTTGTTCATTCTTTGTTTCAGGCCATTGCTCTCTTCAATGCAGATCAAGATGACGAGGCAAACCTGCTCCTCAAAGAACTTACTACCGGTTGTCCGAATGTCGATACGCGTGCACGTCGTATCGTGGAAGTAAGTGTCATGCAGCCGCGTTGGGTCACCAACACTAAGATTCTTTCCAACTCGCACATTAGACATATCTACGTGTTCAACTCGGAATCAAAGCCATGGATGGCACACGTCATAATGAAGCCGTTGATCATTTCACTGCTGCTCTCGACTCCGGCAACTTATCATCGAAATCGGACATTCATGAAATATACGAGGACTTGGTGGTGGTTTGTTGATACACATTCGAAATGCTTTTCATGACTGAGTTCCATATGCAGCTCTTCGGCTGGGATCTCAAATTGTTGTGGCTCACTGCACACCAGAAACGGTGTCAGGCTTTCCTTTCCGCAGGCAAAGCCGATGAAGCCCTCAACTCACACAAATTTATGATGGGCAGCGTCGACGAAACAACGAAGGCGATCTGCCTTGACTGGTCCACTGGTAAGTATTCAGTAATGTCATCCGAGGTTCCAATCCTCACCTATGTTTCACTCAGCTTTCAAGCAAGAATGCAGCGCGCTCCTTCTTACCAACGGAGATACTGCCCTCGCTGCAAGCGATTATGACAGGGCTATTGACCTCTACTCGGTAGTGATCGACCTGAATTCTGCATCTGATGCCGTCTTCGTAAAGCGCAGTAAGGCAAGGTTGGGGAAAAAGCTTTGGACGGAAGCACTTCTCGATGCGCAGAAGGTACGATGGCATTTATCCGTTTTAACCTAGACTTATTGCGGTGACACATAGGTCAGCGAACTCAACTCTTCATCTTATCTCGGATACATTCTGGAGCACGCAGCGCTTCATGGCGCACAACGCTACGATGAAGCGATACAAGCCTTCCAAACAATGCTTTCAAAATTGGATAATGCTCCCGACACTGAGACAAGAAGTAATCCCCAACAACTCATACGTCAACATGCTTTAACTGTTTCTGCAGAATTGCGCCAGCAGTATCTCAGTCCATCCGAAGTGGACCGTACTATTCAGAGGGTCATTGATGCTCAACTTGACAATGCGCCGCTGCGTGTACTCGACACCACCACCGGTCTCTTATGCGATCAAGAGGCGCAAATAAGCGCCTTCAAATCGAGTACAGAGTATAGAGAACTTGTGTCGTCAACAATCACGCATCGAGATATCGAAACGAAGCGCGTCGAAGAAGTGGTGAGGACATACTTCCAATATGTTATGTTGTCACACAGGTGGGAAGGAGAGGAGCCGCTGTTGCAGGATATACAGGGCAAGGACATCCGTAAGTTGAATCCGGTTGGCGGCATTAAGAAGTTGCAGTCCTTCTGCAAAACTGCTCGTGATTTGGGGTATCGCTGGGCATGGAGCGATACATGCTGCATCGACAAGAACAATGATGCCGAGCTCCAAGTATCGGTCAAGTCCATGTTCGTCTGGTATCATCACTCAGCACTCACAGTCGTATACCTCTCTGATGTTCCACCTTCGTTAAAGCCTGGCGCACTGACAAAGAGCGCTTGGAACACACGCGGATGGACAGTTCAAGAATTCCTCGCTCCCAAAGTCATTCTCTTCTATCAGAAGGATTGGACTCTTTATCTCGACGATCGCACTCTGAACCACAAGTATTCCGACGCGATAATGCAGGAATTGGAGGACGCGACGGGTATAAATCGACGAGCTGTCGTGGCCTTCCGTCCCGGGATGAGAGATGCCCGAGAGAAACTGCAGTGGGCATCGACACGTACTACCAAATTGCCAGAAGATATTGCATACTCGTTATCCGGCGTCTTTGGTATCCGCCTACGTGTTGATTATGGCGAGAAGAAGCAGAACGCACTCGGGCGGCTCCTGCAG